ATAGACGAAATGTGTTGAAATGGCTTTGTTTTCAAATCTGGAATGCATCGATATCGTTTTAACGTACGGTGAAGCTCGGGGAAACGGCACTCGCGCCCAAGGAATTTTTTCAAAAAACCTCCCAAATCGTCTGCCAAATGTGCGCAGTTTTAAGAGCGTTGCAGCATTTTCGAGAGTACGGATCTTTTAAACCTGCACCTCAGGACGTTACGTAGTAATAGAATTGCTAATATTGAAGAGACTGTTTTGAAGAGTGTCGAAGCTCAACCGAGCACTAGCACGTATCACTGTCTAGTGTGATGTATCGGAGAGTAGTATTTGGAGGATACTCAGAGAACAAATGTACCCCTTTCAGGACCAGAAAGTTCAGTTATTGAAACTAACAGACTTACCACATAGGCAAAACTTTTGTGAGTGGGTTAATAGAAAAATAAACAAACAAGCAAATTTTGTATCTCTTATACCATCAACTGATGAGGTCGGTTACACGAGGGAAGGTGTTCAACACCCACATTTGGGCCGTTGAAATTCCGTACGCCATTAGGGAGCAGGATTTTCAATTTCTCTCTAAATGTTTGTCACATTGACAAGATTAGGAAAATACGTATCCTAGTAACTGTTTTTGACCATAAATTATTAATTATAATAATTATTAGTGTCCATGGGTGACTGAGGATGCATGGGCGGGTAACCTTAATTGGGGTATAACTTTAACAATTTTTAACTTGATAATTAAAAAGTTCTTGACAAAACTCTACTAAGAAAAGTTGTTGAGTTCAATGAGCTCTATAACTGATTAAAATTAATGTACTTATTTCTGAGACACCCTGTATAATACTTAGTAAAAAATTGAGGTTTCGCAAAAGTTCCCTAAAAATCCACTAAAAACTAGAACTTTAATCTCGACGTGCTGATTCGAAAAATATAGCATGTTTAGGGTTCCGAAGGAAGGTTTTCGATATATTTGGTTTGAATTAAAAAATTTTCAAAAATTATTAAAATTGTCATTTCTTTCACTTGACAATTCTGTTCAAACTGTGGGAATTTTCGAAGAAATGAAGCCGAAAATAACTTCTAGAAGCCGAAATCTACAAAAAAATATTGGTACCTAATTTTTGAAACTAGTCGAAAAATTGTCAAAAAATTTCAAAAACAGTTGAAAAACTGAGCTTCCGGAAAAACTACCTAAAAATCCACAAAAAATTCTAGGCATGCTGACTCGTAAAATAATGCATGTTTAAGATCCTGGAGCAAAATTTTCGAAATATTCAGTTCGAAAGTCATTTTTTTTTATTCTAAAAATTGTCATATTTTAATAGACTATTATGGAAGTAACATTTCCAAAAAATATCACCGAAAATGACTTTTGGAGGTCGAACCCTACGAAAAAATGTTTTAAAACAATTTTTGAATACAGTTGAAAAATAATTGAAAATTTCCGTGCTGATTCGAAACTATAACATTTTATTTGGGGTACCGGAAGAAAGATTTCGAGAAATTTTTTGATTTCAGTCAAATTTTTTAAAATTTCAAAAATTTTCACACTGCAATTGGGGATTTTGGAAAATTTATAGAAAATTTCGAAAAAATAAAACCAAAAATAACTTCTAGAGTGCGAAATCGACAAAAAGTAGCATCAGATAATTTTTTGAAAAGTGGTCGAAAATTTGATAAAAATGGAGTTTTGAAAAATTCAGCTTTCGAAAAAATTGTCTAAAAGTCTGCAGAAATTTCTGGAAAATTGATCTCGAAGTTGATTTGAAAAATATAACATGTTCAGGGTCCCGGAAGAAGATTTTTGAATTATTGAGTTTGAAAGTAGAAATTTTTCAAAGATCAAAGAAATTCCATATTTCAAGTGGCAATTCTAGAAGAATTGTAGGAATTTTTGAAAAAATGACTTCTAGATGTCCAAAAAATATTTGTAGCAAATTTTTGACGGTGGTCGAGAAATCGTCCAAAAATTTCATGAGGGAAACTATTTGAAAAATAGAGCTTTTGGAAAAGTTGCCTAAAATTACACAGAAAATTTTAGGAGATTGACCTCAACTTTAATTAATGAAAATTATATTATCTTTATGATTCCTTTAGGAAGGTTTTCGAAATATTCGTTTTGAGAGTCAAATTTTTAAGAATCCAAAAATTTGCCATGGAAAAACTGTACGAAATTAATCTGAAAATAGCTCCTAGAGCACGAAATCTACAAAAAATAGTTGTACCTAATTTTTGAAACTAGTCGAAAAATGGTCCAAAAATTTCAAGACGAGTTGAAAAATTAACCAAAAATCTACAAAAAATTCTAGGCGAGCTGATTTGAATAAAGCATGTGTAAGATCCTGGAGGAAAGTTTTCGAAATATTCAATTCGAAAGTCTTTTTTTATCCTAAAAATTGCCATATTTCAAAAAAAAGCTAAGATTTTCAAAATAAAGGAACCGAAAATTACTTTTGGATGTCGAAACCTACAAAAAAACATGCTAGATTTAAAAAAGATTTTTGAAACTAGTGGAAAAATTGTCAAAAAATTTCAAAAACAGTTGAAAAACTGAGCTTCCGGAAAAACTACCTAAAAATCCACAAAAAATTCTAAGCATGCTGACTCGAAAAATAAAGCATGTTTGAGATCCTGGAGCAAAGTTTTCGAAATATTCACTTCGAAACTCATTTTTTTTTAATTCTAAAAATTGTCATATTTTATAGACTATTATGGAAGTAACATCTTCAAAACAATGGCACCGAAAATGACTTTTGGAGGTCGAACCCTACAAAAAAATGTTTTAAAACAATTTTTGAATGCGATTAAAAAATAATTGAATATTTCATAAGAGGAGTGTCAAAAATTGAAGTTTCGGAGAAGTTGCTAAAAAAACACAAAAAATTCTTGCTACGATAAGACTGATTTTGGAAAATTATATACCTTCCATGAAAATAGAGGGTGGGTGGGCGGGGTTAGTACTTGTTAAGATAAGACTGATTTTAGGAGTTAGTTTTGAGAAGATAACACTGGTTTTGGCAAATAACATACTCCCTAAAAAAATAGAGGGTGGGTGGGCGGGACTACTCTTTGATAAGATAAGACTGATTTTGGAAAATAACATACCATCTAAAAAATTAGAGGGCGGGTGGGCGGGGCTAGTCTTTGATAAGATAAGACTGATTTTGGCAATTAACATACCCTCTAAAAAATTAGAGGGCGGGTGGGCGGGGCTAGTTTTTGATAAGATAAGACTGTTTTTGGCAAATTTCAGTTGGCGATTGTGGAAAATTTGTAGGAATTTTCCAACAAATAAAACCAAAAATACCTTCTAGAATTTGAAATTGATAAAAAGTAGTTTTAGTTAACTTTTGGAAAAATGAGCTTTCGGAAATATTGTCTAAAAGGCCACACAAATTTGAAATTGATTTGAAAACGTAACATGTTTAAGGTCCCGGAAGGTTTCTAAATTATTGAGTTTAAAAGTAATTTTTTTCAAAAAATCAAAGAATTTCGAAATTTCTGTTAGCGATTCTGGAAAAATTGTACGAATTTTCGAAGAAAAAAATCCAAAAGTAGCTTCGAGTTTGTTGTTATAAATTGTTATAAATGTGGCGGCAAGTAATAAGGAACTTAAACAATCTTAAATTTACCAAGATTTATTGATTTTCCTAAACAAAGGATAGTCACACAATTATGAAAATTAGCATTTCATTGCCAATCCTACTTTGGTTCGGCATATCTCAGATCATGTGTCATCTGCTTTAAAATATCTTAAGATCTTTTGTTATTCACACTTATGTCTAAATCACGATTTTCTTTTTTTCGTGTAGATATTTACATTTGTTATCAACTTAGTTCCCTTTGATTGATGATCTTTCTTCAGTTTTCAGGTCATGGTTAAGTATAATATATATTTATATCACGTCCATTAATTTTATAACCATTCTCTATGTAAAAATGTAAACAAGTTTTCACTTAGTTGGCAAAACGGCAGCAAATTTCTCAGTTCATCCCCTTTAGAATTCATGACGTCAATTTGTTAAATAAAATCCGAGCAACATTTTTCGACGTTTCAAAATGCATCTTCCTGTTTTAAGCTTCGCCTGAAGAATTTTGCAACAGTCGCATGACGCAAGTCCCCAATGATAAAAATAAATAATGTCATGTCTCCAAATTTGTGAAGATACAAGGATCTTTGATTACATTTTACATTATTCAAAGACGATCATGATTTACATACAAAAAGCCATATCCAGAATTAAGTGATTCTTTCAAAACCACAATCGAAAGCGTCATTGCAGTTGACGATTTTGAACATTATGTAAAAATCGAAATGATTTACGGTTATTTTATGTGACCATTAAGAGTGTGAATTTTTCCCAAAGGAAATAAACTTTCCATGGTACAATTAAAACTATGGTGACACTCTCTGCTACAATTTTACATAATTGTATCCACTTTTTATAAATGTCACATACCATACATTGTAATATCATCTTTTGAAGAGGTCGCAGCAAATAGTGACCGGCCTTGATAAAGGTTTCTTGATGGATCTGTTATGAAACCATTTTAAATTTCGTACCGCCTTTCAAAGTATCAATAATTCTGTACCACCAGTGGCGCAGACCACTACCGAAAGAATTTGCATTTTAATGGCTTTTCACACTATAACAGTCACGTTTACAAAGTGCAAATGCACCCGTCTCCGCTCATTGTGAATTAAATTTGACATATTCGAAATAATGGCTTGAGGATCGAAAACGTGACGCTAAAAAAATAATGCTAAAACGGTGTCACGCCGAAGATTTACAGCCTTTATAAAAATCATCGCTCTGTGTTATTAATTGAACGCTATTATTCTCCGCTCGATGAAAATCTAATCTGCGTTGCGCCACACGTTAGGTAACTTCTTAAATCAAAATCCGTGTGGTAATACCAAGTATCCCAAAATCGAGTTTCGGGTACCAGTTTGGCACCAAGTGGCCCAATAGATCACACCACCTTCGTAATTTCCATTATTTATGAGTCATTTTATTGTCATGGACGAGTCGCACCTGATTTTCTCCGTGAATCCGAAGCTCCGACTAATTAGCATCCACTATAAATATCAGCACCTCCTGGAACTAGATTACTATCGATCCGATCTTCACCCAGACATGTTCCGACTGGTGAGTGCTCGCGATCCACGTTTTCAAAATTTCAAATTTTATTTTGAAAATTTCAAATTGTAGATATTGTTGTGTGCCCTTGCGCTGGCGGCGCACGCCGACGTCTCGCACTTGCTCAGGTCCAACCGCCCCTTCGCCGCCCCCAGTCGCTCGTTCGCGCCAGCCGCCCCCGCGTCCTACTCGCCGGGACGCCAGGTGGCCATTCTGCGCCAGAGCCAGGACGTGGACCCCGACGGCGGATACCAGTTCAGGTGAGTGAGCGGCTACCGGTTTCGACGCGGTGACATCTTCAGGGTTGCAGTTTTGAAACGGAGAACGGGATCGCGGCTGAAGAAAGGGCTCAAGTGAGGGCTGCAGGGAACGAGCTGGAGAAGGTCGCTCAAGGGGCGTTCCACTGGACTTCTCCCGAGGGAGAGCAGGTTTCGGTGTCGTATGTGGCGGACGGGAATGGGTACCAGCCCCAGGGGAGTCACTTGCCGGTAGCGCCCCCAATCCCGCCTGCGATCCAGAGGGCTTTGGATTGGATCGCCGCTCACCCCCAGCCTGCTGAACGTGAACCTGTTTATAGGAGATTTTAATCCGGATATGATTATGACAGTTGTTTGAGGTTTTGTTGTAAAATAATAAAATAAGTTTTATAAGAGGAATGTAAGTTATTTAAACCCCAGTGGTCGTCAAGTTGAAAAAAATCGGGATTTTTAAAATTCGTTGTGGTTTTTAAGATTCGTTGTGGTTTTTCTTAACGGTAAATGTGTATAACCTTTCGTCTAGACCAGCTACAGACATTTATTTGAAATACCAGCGATCTTAATTTATCGTCCAACTGAACAAGAAATTCAAGGATTATGATACTTAAAATTTTCCACGTCATAATTGTGTTCAGGTTCCATAACAACTGTTGAATGTTTGGTAGTAATCTAAAGATCTAAAGGCGTTTTTCGCCAATGTTTGTTAGTTTCAATGTTATCAGAATTTAATTTGAAAATTTTGAAAATATAGAAATAAGCTGGAATCTGAACATTAAAATTCATCAAATTTTCCGTCTTCTGAAATGTGAACATACTTAAGATTTTTATTAATTTGACTTTTAAATCGAATGTTTCGAATCAGCATGTGGGAATTTTTTGTGTCAAAAATTGGACGAAATTTGAAGACCATTAAAAAATTTCAATTTTAAAAAAGTTGTCTAAAATTATGGAAAAATTCAGGGACGTAAATCTCGACACGCTGATTACAAAAATATAGCATGTTGATGGTCACCAAGCAACATTTTCGAAAAAATCGCTGCGAAATGAGAATTCCTGAAAATTTCAAAAATTTCGAAATTTCAATGGTCGATTCCGGAAAAACTGTTGCAGGTATCAAAAAACCGAAGCCGGATTTGAGTTCTAGAGCTAGAAATCTGCAAGAAAATGTATTTAGTGGAGTTTCGAAAGTAGCAAAATTTTTGCGAAATTTGAAGAAGGGGGGACCATTAAAAAATTTCAATTTTAAAAAGTTGTCTCAAAATTATGAAAAAATTCAGGAACGTAGATCTCGACAAGCTGATTCCAAAAATATAGCATGTTGTGTTCACGAAGCAACATTTTCGAAAACATCGCTGCGAAATGCGAATTTATGGAAATTTCAAAAATTTCGAAATTTCAACGGCCGATTCTGGAAAAACGGTTGCAGGTATCAAAAAACCGAAGCCGGATTTGAATTCTAGAGCTCGAAATCTACAAGAAAATGTATTTAGTTGAGTTTCGAAAATGTCAAAATTTTTGCGAAATTTGAAGAAAGGGGAACCATAAAAAAATTCCAATTTTAAAAAAGTTGTCTGAAAATTATGAAAAAATTCAGGGACGTAGATCTCAACACGCTGATGCCAAAAATATAGCATGTTGATGGTCACAATGCAACATTTTCGAAAAAATCGCTGCAAAATGCGAATTTTTGGAAATTTCAAAAATTTCGAAATTTCAACGGCCGATTCTGGAAAAACGGTTGCAGGCATCAAAAAAACGAAGCCGGATTTGAATTCTAGAGCTCGAAATCTACAAGAAAAGGTATTTAGTTGAGTTTCGAAAATGTCAAAATTTTTGCGAAATTTGAAGAAGGGGGGACCATTAAAAAATTTCAATTTTAAAAAAGTTGTCTGAAAATTATGAAAAAATTCAGGGACGTAGATCTCAACACGCTGATTCCAAAATATAGCATGTTGATGGTCACGAAGCAACATTTTCGAAAAAATTGCTGCAAAATGCGAATTTTTGGAAATTTCAAAAATTTCGAAATTTCAACGGCCGATTCTGGAAAAACGGTTGCTGGTATCAAAAAACCGAAGCCGGATTTGAGTTCTAGAGCTCGAAATCTACAAGAAAATGTATTTAGTTGAGTTTCGAAAATGTCAAAATTTTTGCGAAATTTGAAGAAGGGGAGACCATTAAAAATTTACAATTTTAAAAAAGTTGTCTAAAAATTATGAAAAAATTCGAGGACGTAGATCTCGACATGCTGATTCCAAAAATATAGCTTGTTGATCTGTCACGAAGCAACATTTTCGAAACAATCGCTGAAAAATGCGAATTTTTGGAAATTTAAAAAATTTCGAAATTTCAACGGCCGATTCTGGAAAAACGGTTGCAGGAATCAAAAAACCGAAGCCGGATTTGAATTCTAGAGCTCGAAATCTACAAGAAAATGTACAAAGTTGAGTTTCGAAAATGTCAAAATTTTTGCGAAATTTGAAGAAGGGGGGACCATTAAAAAATCTTAATTTTAAAAAAGTTGTCTGAAAATTATGAAAAAATTCAGGGACGTAGATCTCAACACGCTGATTCCAAAAATATAGCATGTTGATGGTCACGAAACAACATTTTCGAAAAAATCGCCACAAAATATAAATTTTTGTAAATTTCAAAAATTTCGAAATTTCAACGGCCGATCCTGGAAAAACGGTTGCAGGTATCAAAAAACCGAAGCCGGATTTGAGTTCTAGAGCTCGAAATCTACAAGAAAATGTATTTAGTTGAGTTTCGAAAATAGCAAAATTTTTGCGAAATTTGAAGAAGGGGGGACCATTGAAAATTTTAAATTTTAAAAAAGTTGTCTAAAAATTATGAAAAAATTCGAGGACGTAGATCTCGACACGCTGATTCCAAAAATATAGCGTGTTGATGGCCACGAAGCAACATCTTCGAAAAAATCGCTGCAAAATGCGAATTTTTGGAAAATTCAAAAATTTCGAAATGTCAACGGTCGATTCTGGAAAAACGGTTGCAGGTATCAAAAAACCGAAGCCGGATTTGAGTTCTAGAGCTCGAAATCTACAAGAAAATGTATTTAGTTGAGTTTCGAAAATTTCAAAATTTTTGCGAAATTTGAAGAAGGGGGACCATTAAAAAATCTTAATTTTATAAAAGTTGTCAGAAAATTATGAAAAAATTCAGGGACGTAGATCTCAACACGCTGATTCCAAACATATAGCATCTTGATGGTCACGAAGCAACATTTTCGAAAAAATCGCTGCAAAATGTAAATTTTTGTAAATTTCAAAAATTTCGAAATTTCAACGGCCGATTCTGGAAAAACGGTTGCAGGTATCAAAAAACCGAAGTCGGATTTGAGTTCTAGAGCTCGAAACCTACAAGAAAATGTATTTAGTTGAGTTTCGAAAATGGCAAAATTTTTGCGAAAAGTGAAGAAGCGTGTTGATTAAAAATTTTCAATTTTAAAAAAGTTGTCTAAAAATTATGAAAAAATTCGGGGACGTAGATCTCGACACGCTGATTCCAAAAATATAGCATGTTGATCTGTCACGAAGCAACATTTTCGAAAAAATCGCTGAAAAATGCGAATTTTTGGAAATTTCAAAAATTTCGAAATTTCAACGGCCGATTCTGGAAAAACGGTTGCAGGTATCAAAAAACCGAAGCCGGATTTGAATTCTAGAGCTCGAAATCTACAAGAAAATGTGTTTAGTTGAGTCTCGAAAATGTCAAAATTTTTGCGAAATTTGAAGAAGTGGGGACCAATAAAAATTTTCAATTTTAAAAAAGTTGTCTGAAAATTATGAAAAAATTCGAGGACGTAGATCTCGACACGCTGATTCCAAAAATATAGCGTGTTGATGGCCACGAAGCAACATCTTCGAAAAAATCGCTGCAAAATGCGAATTTTTGGAAAATTCAAAAATTTCGAAATGTCAACGGTCGATTCTGGAAAAACGGTTGCAGGTATCAAAAAACCGAAGCCGGATTTGAGTTCTAGAGCTCGAAATCTACAAGAAAATGTATTTAGTTGAGTTTCGAAAATTTCAAAATTTTTGCGAAATTTGAAGAAGGGGGACCATTAAAAAATCTTAATTTTATAAAAGTTGTCAGAAAATTATGAAAAAATTCAGGGACGTAGATCTCAACACGCTGATTCCAAACATATAGCATCTTGATGGTCACGAAGCAACATTTTCGAAAAAATCGCTGCAAAATGTAAATTTTTGTAAATTTCAAAAATTTCGAAATTTCAACGGCCGATTCTGGAAAAACGGTTGCAGGTATCAAAAAATCGAAGTCGGATTTGAGTTCTAGAGCTCGAAACCTACAAGAAAATGTATTTAGTTGAGTTTCGAAAATGGCAAAATTTTTGCGAAAAGTGAAGAAGCGTGTTGATTAAAAATTTTCAATTTTAAAAAAGTTGTCTAAAAATTATGAAAAAATCCCGGGACGTGGATCTCGACACGCCGATTCCAAAAATATAGCATGTTAATGGTCACGAAGCAACATTTTCGAAAAAATCGCTGCGAAATGCGAATTTTTGAAAATTTCAAAAATTTCGAAAATTCAACGGTCGATTCTGGAAAAACGGTTGCAGGTTTCAAAAAACCGGAGCCGGATTTGAGTTCTGGAGCTCGAAATCTACAAGAAAATGTATTTAGTTGAGTTTCGAAAATGGCAAAATTTTTGCGAAATTTGAAGAAGGGGGGACCATTAAAAAATTTCAATTTTAAAAAAGTTGTCTAAAAATTATGAAAAATTCGAGAACGTAGATCTCGACACGCTGATTCCAAAAATATAGCATGTTGATGGTCACAAAGCAACATTTTCGAAAAAATCGCTGAAAAATGCGAATTTTTGGAAATTTCAAAAATTTCGAAATTTCAACGGCCGATTCTGGAAAAACGGTTGCAGGTATCAAAAAACCGAAGCCGGATTTGAATTCTAGAGCTCGAAATCTACAAGAAAATGTGTTTAGTTGAGTCTCGAAAATGTCAAAATTTTTGCGAAATTTGAAGAAGTGGGGACCAATAAAAATTTTCAATTTTAAAAAAGTTGTCTGAAAATTATGAAAAAATTCAGGGACGTAGATCTCAACACGCTGATTCCAAACATATAGCATGTTGATGGTCACGAAGCAACATTTTCGAAAAAATCGCTGCAAAATGTAGATTTTTGTAAATTTCAAAAATTTCGAAATTTCAACCTCCGATTCTGGAAAAACGGTTGCAGGTATCAAAAAACCGAAGCCGGATTTGAGTTCTAGACCTCGAAATCTACAAGAAAATGCATTTAGTTGAGTTTCGAAAATGTCAAAATTTTTGCGAAATTTGAAGAAGGGGGGACCGTTAAAAATTTTCAATTTTAAAAAAGTTGTCTAAAAATTATGAAAAAATTCGAGGACGTAGATCTCGACACGCTGATTCTAAAAATATAGCATGTTGATGGTCACGAAGCAACATTTTCGATAAAATCGCTGCAAAATGCGAATTTTTGGAAATTTCAAAAATTTCGAAATTTCAACGGCCGATTCTGGAAGACGGTTGCAGGTATCAAAAAACCGAATTCGGATTTGAATTCTAGAGCTCGTAATCTACAAGAAAATGCATTTAGTTGAGTTTCGAAAATGTCAAAATTTTTGCGAAATTTGAAGAAGGGGGGACCATTAAAAAATTTCAATTTTAAAAAAGTTGTCTGAAAATTATGAAAAAATTCGAGGACGTAGATCTCGACACGCTGATTCCAAAAATATAGCGTGTTGATGGCCACGAAGCAACATCTTCGAAAAAATCGCTGCAAAATGCGAATTTTTGGAAAATTCAAAAATTTCGAAATGTCAACGGTCGATTCTGGAAAAACGGTTGCAGGTATCAAAAAACCGAAGCCGGATTTGAGTTCTAGAGCTCGAAATCTACAAGAAAGGTGTTTAGTTGAGTTTCGAAAATTTCAAAATTTTTGCGAAATTTGAAGAAGGGGGACCATTAAAAAATCTTAATTTTATAAAAGTTGTCAGAAAATTATGAAAAAATTCAGGGACGTAGATCTCAACACGCTGATTCCAAACATATAGCCTGTTGATGGTCACGAAGCAACATTTTCGAAAAAATCGCTGCAAAATGTAAATTTTTGTAAATTTCAAAAATTTCGAAATTTCAACGGCCGATTCTGGAAAAACGGTTGCAGGTATCAAAAAACCGAAGTCGGATTTGAGTTCTAGAGCTCGAAACCTACAAGAAAATGTATTTAGTTGAGTTTCGAAAATGGCAAAATTTTTGCGAAAAGTGAAGAAGCGTGTTGATTAAAAATTTTCAATTTTAAAAAAGTTGTCTAAAAATTATGAAAAAATTCGGGGACGTAGATCTCGACACGCTGATTCCAAAAATACAGCATGTTGATGATCACGAAGCAACATTTTCGAAAAAATCGCAGAAAATGCGAATTTTTAAAAATTTCAAAAATTTCGAAAATTCAACGGTCGATTCTGGAAAAACGGTTGCAGGTATCAAAAAACCGAAGCCGGATTTGAGTTTTGGAGCTCGAAATCTACAAGAAAATGTATTTGGTTGAGTTTCGAAAATGTCAAAATTTTTGCGAAATTTGAAGAAGGGGGGACCATTAAAAAATTTCAATTTTAAAAAAGTTGTCTGAAAATTATGAAAAAACTCAGGGACGTAGATCTCAACACGCTGATTCCAAACATATAGCATGTTGATGGTCACGAAGCAACATTTTCGAAAAAATCGCTGCAAAATGTAGATTTTTGTAAATTTGAAAAATTTCGAAATTTCAACCTCCGATTCTGGAAAAACGGTTGCAGGTATCAAAAAACCGAAGCCGGATTTGAGTTCTAGACCTCGAAATCTACAAGAAAATGCATTTAGTTGAGTTTCGAAAATGGCACAATTTTTGCGAAATTTGAAGAAGTGGGGACCAATAAAAATTTTCAATTTTAAAAAAGTTGTCTGAAAATTATGAAAACATTCAGGGACGTAGATCTCAACACGCTGATTCCAAAAATATAGCATGTTGATGGTCACGAAGCAACATTTTCGAAAAAATCGCTGCAAAATGCGAATTTTTGGAAATTTCAAAAATTTCGAAATTTCAACGGCCGATTCTGGAAAAACGGTTGCAGGTATCAAAAACCGAAGCCGGATTTGAGTTCTAGAGCTCGAAATCTACAAGAAAATGTATTTAGTTGAGTTTCGGAAATGTCAAAATTTTTGCGAAATTTGAAGAAGGGGGGACCATTAAAAAATTTCAATTTTAAAAAAGTTGTCTGAAAATTTTGAAAAAATTCAGGGACGTAGATCTCAACACGCTGATTCCAAAAATATAGCATGTTGATGGTCACGAAGCAACATTTTCGAAAAAATCGCTGCAAAATGCGAATTTTTGGAAATTTCAAAAATCTCGAAATTTCAACGGCCGATTCTGGAAAAACGGTTGCAGGTTTCAAAAAACCGAAGACGGATTTGAATTCTAGAGCTCGAAATCTACAAGAAAATGTATTTAGTTGAGTTTCGAAAATGTCAAAATTTTTGCGAAATTTGAAGAAGGGGGGACCATTAAAAATTTTCAATTTTTTAAAAGTTGACAAAAAATTATGAAAAAATTCGAGGACGTTGATCTCGACACGCTGATTCCAAAAATATAGCATGTTGATGGTCACGAAGCAACATTTTCGAAAATATCGCTGCGAAATGCGAATTTTTGAAATTTCAAAAATTTCGAAATTTCAAAGGTCGATTCTGGACAAACGGTTGCAGGTATCAAAAAACCGAAGCCGGATTTTAGTTGTTGAGCTCGAAATCTACAAGAAAATGTATTGAGTTGAGTTTCGAAAATGTCAAAATTTTTGCGAAATTTGAAGAAGGGGGGACCATTAAAAATTTTCAATTTTAAAAAAAAGTTGTCTAAAAATTATGAAAAAATTCGAGGACGTAGATCTCGACACGCTGATTCCAAAAATATAGCATGTTGATGGTCACGAAGCAACATTTTCGAAAAAATCGCTGCAAAATGCGAATTTTTGGAAATTTCAAAAATTTCGAAATTTCAACGGCCGATTCTGGAAAAGCGGTTGCAGGTATCAAAAAACCGAAGCCGGATTTGAGTTCTAGAACTCGAAATCTACAAGAAAAAGTTTTTAGTTGAGTTTCGAAAATGTCAAAATTTTTGCGAAATTTGAAGAAGGGGGGACCATTAAAATTTTCAATTTTAAAAAAGTTGTCTAAAAATTATGAAAGAATTCGAGGACGTAGATCTCGACACCCTGATTCCAAAAATATAGCATGTTGATGGTCACGAATCAACATTTTCGAAAAAATCGCTGCAAAATGTGAATTTTTGGAAATTTCAAAAATTTCGAAATTTCAACGGCCGATTCTGGAAAAACGGTTACAGGTTTCAAGAAACCGAAGCCGGATTTGAATTCTAGAACTCGAAATCTACAAGAAAATGTATTTGGTTGAGTTTCGAAAATGTCAAAATTTTTGCGAAATTTGAAGAAGGGGGGACCATTAAAAAATTTCAATTTTAAAAAAGTTGTCTAAAAATAATGAAAAAATTCGAGGACGTAGATCTCGACACGCTGATTCCAAAAATATAGCATGTTGATGGTCACGAAGCAACATTTTCGAAAAAATCGCTGCAAAATGCGAATTTTTCGAATTTCAAAAATTTCGAAATTTCAACGGCCGATTCTGGACAAACGGTTGCAGGTATCAAAAAACCGAAGCCGGATTTGAGTCCTAGAAATCGAAATCTACAAGAAAATGTATTTAGTTGAGTTTCGAAAATGTCAAAATTTTTGCGAAATTTGAAGAAGGGGGGACCATTAAAAATTTTCAATTTTAAAAAAATTGTCTAAAAATTATGAAAAAATTCGAGGACGTAGATCTCGACACGCTGATTCCAAAAAGATAGCATGTTGATGGTCACGAAGCAACATTTTCGAAAAAATCGCTGCGAAATGCGAATTTTTGAAAATTTCAAAAATTTCGAAATTTCAAAGGTCGATTCTGGATTTTTTTTTTATTTTTTGTTTTTTCACACTTTTGACAGTGAAGTTGTGTTGCATATTTGCCTATAATATTCCAAATTAGACCCCAAATTCGACTTCTTATTTAAAAAATAATGGCTGTTACAAACTTCGACACTAATTTTAATGATCACAACATTCAAAAACACAGACAAGTGATATCTGTTTTAAAAAAGGAAGCAGTGGTTTGACGACGTCTGAATTTTAAATAGACACGAGTTCCTCTGTGTTTACGATAAATACCTTATCAACAAATGTGGTTATATATCTATCGGAAAGCAGGTTCCCATTGGCATCCGTAACACCAACATTCAGGAATTAACATTCTAATTTCGAAGATGGCAACACTGGCATGTTAATTATAAGTTAGCACAGACCTCACCGGACCACACCTTAGAGCTTGGAGACTCGTCGATGTATAACTGATTGCATACAAAGTCAAATATATTAAAGAAATTGCAGAAAAACGACTGAATAATGTAGGAAATGTTTGTTGAAGATTATGCAACCATTTAAACACGAAATACACACAAAACACGCCTTCATACGATCACCTGAATGATCTCTATCTGTGCTATAATCATAACTTTGCATAGTCTTGGAGACTCGATGGTGTATAATTGGTTGCATACATAAATCGAAATATCTAGAGATTTCAGCAAAACGACTGAATAAATCATGAATCATAAATTCCATTCCACATTTTGTGACAAACCTGAAAAATCGGACCAACGATCTTTATTGAAGATTATGCAACCTTTTAAACACAAGGAACCCACTTAAGGGCTTCAGGAAATTTACCAACACTTCAATACAAAAATCGTTTATTTATTTATAAAAATAATACTTTCGTTATATTAACACACACACTACACAAGTCTCTAGAACCTAGGATTAATTTTCGGCTCCTCGGGATGAGCAGCGATCCACTCGAGAGCCCTAAGAATCGCAGGAGGAATGGGAGGAGGTGTGGGCAAATGGGCACCTTGTGGCTGGAAACCATTTTCATCGGCAACATAACTCACAGAAATGGGTTGTCCTTCAGGGGACGTGTAAGAAAACGACCCTTGTGCGGCAATCGACGGCTCAGCACTCCCTTGTTGCTTCAGACCCCCTTGTTCTTGCGCCGCGATACCATTGGCAGTTTCATACCTAGAACAACCATAATTGCACCCATTTTTGAGTAAGAATGATGCACTTACGCCCATTTGTAGCTACCATCGGGTTCCACACTTTGCTCCTGGCGCAGAATGGCGATCTCTTGACCCGGGTGGTGGGTCTCGAATTTTATAGCTGGACCGGGGTTGACGGCGAAGGGTGGCCGGTTCCCGAAGGGGGAGAGGAGGCGGCTGTCCTGGTTCTGGTACAAGTCGCGCACGTCGGCGAAGACCGACAGGAACAACGTGAAAGAGAAAATCTGCAACGACAATTTTTGTGGTTTGACAAAAAAAAATAGGGGGTTGTACTTACCAGACCCAGCATTGTGCACGATTTAGCTGATGTTTGCAGATTGTAAAGAGATCCCCAAAATTGTGGATATTTATACCAAAAGTTACGTCTGTGCGCGGAATCCCCCAAACTCGGTCCAGCGGCGTCTCGTCTTCTTATTGTCTCACACGACGATTCTTCTTCAACCATTACTAATCCCTCGCTATTTTAATTACTTGAATATCTCTAACCGTGGGACACAAAAATGCTTTTGCAACATCGTGTTGTGCACAAAGTTAATGTCGAAAACATGCAAATTTCGTTCTTGTTTTGCGGTTCATTCAAACCGCCCATTGGAATGAAAATTTATTGCCACGCCACTGTACTCAAAGCTTCAATAAATTACTACACACTTGGAATCGTAGACTATTTCATAACTTAGACGACTCCCTCTGCGTGATGTCCTAAAACATTTGACGCCAACCTTTAACTTTCTTCACTCTTCAAAGGCATCAGTGTCAAGTTTAATTTTTTCGGCGCTGAAGAGTCTGCGAGTGACGGCGCTAATTAGCAGGAACGGTAGAAATACAAACAAATCGTGAGCCTATTAGTTTTCGGTAATTAAAGCAATACCCATCAGAACGGTCGAAGATGAGGTTCACAACAATAGAAATGCACATTTATGCAAATCAGGAGAAATGATATTTGGTAAGCATTTCACAATTTTGCAACAAACAGGAAATATTATGCTTAGGTTCAGAGTCACCATAATTAATAGGGGCTAGGATTTCTTCTTGCTCTTTAGCTCAGTGGCATTTGGGCGGATTTCTCAAGAACAAGACCGCAAAAATTTCAAGTCGCTTAGTCAAACGACTTCCAAATTTTATCATTACGTCGTTTGACCACCAATGAATCGCCTTCGGGAAAACCGGACACTGAGGGCAATGCCCGGCTTACACGACGAAAAACTAATCAAGCCGAAAAATCGGTCAAAATCATCTTTTTTGCCACACCCTATGCACCAGATTGCTCAATTATGCGCCAAACACGTGTAAACCGGCAATTTATCATTGTTTACATTGCTACATGACCACCTTTAATTAAGAAATTATGTTCTACACACCGTCCAGATAAGAAAAATTACCATTTTTTGCGCAATGCTCACCTATCTTGCGCGTTCTCATGTACCTATTTCACGAATTGAGCATTTTTGGACATTACCTCGATTTGGGTGCATTCATCACAATGTCTCCTCGCGTTACATAATGCTTAGAAAGCAATGAGGCTGGACGAGAATTTACATAAAATGATTGGGGCAATGATATTAAGTTTCTCAATAAAACACTTATTCAAAAATCGGTTGTGTCGTTTGGTTTATACGGAGACCTTTGGGTGTTTTCGCGGGGATGACATCAGCGCATTTCAGGATAACATTTTGCTTTTAATGGTTTGGTATTTGAGGTTTATTTCATCGGACGGTTTACGCTATCGTGTCAAAATTTTATTAATTCGAGATGCTTAGTAATTATTCAGTGTGGATTGGATTACCAAGGTTCTTGCTTTGGGGGATTGTCAGTCAAACGTGGCCGGAACCTAGGCCTAGATTTACGCGTTTGCAGTTAAAATATTTTTGGTTGGTGTAACCGCAGAAGGAAAACAACTTTACGATACATTGTACATAATAAATAATGTGACCAAGACCTGTGTTCTTGTAACGAGAGCATCAACTCATCCGTTGCAGTTCTTTGTTCTTGTTTTAGGTAATCTTGGAAATAGATGTGAAATCATCGGCAAGAATGTTTCAGGGTTTTTTATTCATATTTAAAAAAAGTGCGGAAAGTTTTAAAACACTTGAGTATAAATGCAATTGAAAGTAATTATTCTGCGAAGACATTTCCAAAAAGTGTGGGTAGTTTATTTCAGGAAGCGATGAATGATTAGAACAAAAAATGACAGAGTAAATGTTAAAATTACGTGAAAAAAATAAATAAATGTCACAGCATAGTATTTAACGATCTGAAAATTAATTGCTCTATAAAAAATTGTATGTACGAGTACATTGTTTACAAGTTGCTATTTTAACATAAATCGGCAAATTAGTTTATAAGCCTTTGGGAAATATGGGTGTAATTTTTTTAAACTAAAATCTATTAATTGTGGAGAAAGGAAAAATAGGTCTCCCTTTCCCATCTGTCGTCCGTCCGTCTGTTTGAATTTTGTATGTGTTATGTTAAAATTCTCTCTTACCCTTTTTGTTTTGTTCTTTTTTTCGCATTTTTTTTACAATGTTTTTTCTTGCATTTTTTGGACTTTGTGGAGTTTTGTTGCCTTTTTTGTTATTTTTTTACCTTCTGTTGCTATCGCCTTTTTAATTTTTTTCTGGATTTTATCCGTTTTTTGTACGTTTTTGGATCTTCTTTTCTTGTCATGTTTTTTGTAACCTTTCAGCTCCTTTTTTAGCCGTATTTTTGCTGCAATTTCTATTTACCCTGTTTCTTTGTTTTGGTCTTTTTTTCACACTTTTTGCCTATTTTTTTTGTTTTCTGCTCTCGCATTCTGTTTTCATTGTCTTTCTTGTTACTTTTTGTAATCACATTTTTTGTTGCATTTTTCTGGATCTTTTGTTACCTTTTCTGTTAATTTTTTTGTCTTCTGTCTTTGACGTTTTTTAGTTTTTTTTTCTGGATTTTTTTTTCATTTTTTGTGGCGTTTTTGGGTCTTCTATTCTTTTCACGTGTTTTGTAGGCTTTTTTTGTCCTCCTTTCGTAGCCGCATTTTTGGCGCAATTATTTACTTACCCTTTTTTGTTTTAGTCTTTTTTCGCACTTTTTTTTTTCTTTTCTGTTCTAAACTTTCTTTATTTTAGTTTTTTTTGTGACTATAGCTTTTTTGTGACTATTTTGTCGCTTTTTTAGCTTTTCCGTTTATTGTAGCGTTTTTGGGTCTTCTTTTCTTGTCATGTTTTTTGTAGCCCTTTTTGACCTCCTTTTTTAGGCTCATTTTTGGCGCATTTTTTGCTTGCCGTTTTTGTATTGTTTTTTTTTCGCACTTTTTTTTATTTTTTTTGTTTTCTGTTCTCTCATTTTTCGGCATTTTTTTTCCTTTGTTTTATTATCTGTCTTGTTACTTTTTGTAATCACATTTTTTGTTGCATTTTTTCTGGACTTTTTATTGCCTTTTTTGTTAATTTTTTTGTCTTCTGTCTTTGACGTTTTTTTAGTTTTTTTTTTTATGGATTTGTTTCCTTTTTTAGCGTTTTGGGTCTTCTATTCTTTTCACCTTTTTTGTAGCCTTTTTTTGTCCTTCTTTCGTAGCCGCATTTTTGGCGCAATTTTTTACTTACCCTTTTTTGTTTTAGTCTTTTTTCGCACTTTTTTTTGTTCTCTGGTGTGAACTTTCTTATTTAAATTTTTTTGTGACTGTTTTATAGCTTTTTTGTGACTATTTTGTCGCTTTTTTAGCATTTCCGTTTATTGTCGCGTTTTTGGGTCTTGTCATGTTTTTTGTAGCCCTTTTTGACCTCCTTTGTTAGTCTCATTTTTGGCGCATTTTTTGCTTGTCCTTTTTTTATTTGTTTGGCCTTTTTTTCGCACTTTTTTTTCTCTGTTCTTGCATTTTTTCTCACTTTTTTGTCCTTTTCCATTATTTTTTTTGTGACTTTTGTAATCACATTTTTTATTGCATGTTTTGTGGATTTTTTGTCGCTTTTTTAGATTTTTTAATGGATTTTTCCGCTTTTTTTGTAGCGTTTTTGATTCTTGTATTCTTTTCATGTTTTTATTTGTAGCTTTTTTTTGACATTCTTTTTTAGCCTCATTTTTGGCGCATTTTTTGCTTGCCCTTTTTGTTTTGGTCTATTTTTCGCACTTTTTTTTTATTTTATTTTTGTTCTCTGTTCTTGTATTTATTCGCACTTTTTTGTTCTTTTTCATTGTTTTTCTTGTGACTTTTTGTAATCACATTTTTTATTGCATGTTTTGTGGACTTTATTTGCCTTTTTTGCTCATTCCTTTGTCTTCTGTTTTTGACGTTTTTTTTTTTTTTTGTGTTTTTTTTGTTTTTTGTCACATTTGTGAGACTTCTATTAATGTAAGGTTTTTTTTACCTCCTTTTTAGCCTCATTTCTGTTGCATTTTTTTACTTGCCCTTTTTGTTTTGGTCTTTTTTTCGGACTTTTTTTTTAATTTCTTTTTGTTCTCTGTTCTTGCATTTATTCTCACTTGTATGTCCTTTTTCATTGTTTTTCTTGTGACTTTTTGTAACGACATTTTTTATTACATGCTTTGTTAATTTTTTGTCTTCTGTTTTTGTCGCTTTTTTAAGATTTTTTAATGGATTTTTTCATTTTTTTGTAGCGTTTTTGGTTCTTGTATTTTTTCATGTTTTTTGTAGCATTTTTTGACCTCCTTTTTTAGCCGCCTTTTTGGCGCAGTTTTTTGCTTACCCTTTTTTTTTTTGTTTTGATTTTTCGCACTTTTTTATATATTTTTTTTTTGTTCTCTTTTCTTGCATTTTTGCTCACTTTTTTGTCCTTTTATTTTATTGTCTTTGTTGTGACTGTTTGTAGTCACATTTTTTGTTGCCTTTTTGTTTGTTAAATTTTTTTGTCTTCTGGTTTTGACTTTTCATTGTTTTTCTTGTGACTTTTGTAATCATATTTTTTATTGCATGTTTTGTGGACTTTTATTTGCCTTTTTTTATTAATTTTTTTGTCTTCTGTTTTTAACGTTTTTTCACCTTTTTCTGTGTGTTTTTTTCTTGTTTTTTGTTACATTTTTTAGTGTTCTATTCATGTCAGGTTTTTTCGACCTCCTTTTTTAGCCTCTTTTTTGGTGCATTTTTTTGCTTGCCCTTTTTTGTTTTCGTTTTTTTTTCGCACTTTTTTTTAATTGTTTTTATTCTCTGTTCTTGCATTTATTCTCACTTGTTTTTCTTGTGACTTTTTCAAATGACATTTTTTATTGCATGCTTTGTGGACTTTTTGTTGTATTTTTTCATGTTTTTTGTAGCATTTTTTGACCTCTTCTTTTAGCCACTTTTTTGGCGCAATTTTTTGTTTGCCCTTTTTTTATTTTGGTTTTTTCGCACTTTTTTTTATTTTTTTTTTTGTTCTCTGTTCTTGCATTTTTGCTCACTTTTTTGTCCTTTTATTTTATTGTCTTTGTTGTGACTTTTTGTAGTCACATTTTTGTTGCCTTTTTGTTTGTTAAATTTTTTTGTCTTCTATTTTTGACGTTTTTTTGTATTTCTTTTGTTTTTTGTAACATTTTTGAGTCTTCTATTGTTGTCATTTTTTGTAGTCTTTTTTGACCTCCTTTATTAGCTTCATTTTTGGCGCATTTTTTTTGCTTGCCCTCTTGTTTTGGTCTTTTTCGCACTTTAAAAAAATTTTTTTTGTTCTCTGTTCTTGCATTTTTTTCTCACTTTCTTGTCCTTTTTCATTGTTTTTTTGTGACTTTTTGTAATCACATTTTTTGTGGATTTTTGTTGCCTTCTTATCGTCTCTAATGTTACTTTTGTTGTTTTTTGTTCTTTGATTTTGTCTCCATTTTTTGGAGTTTTTTCGTCTTTTAATCGTATTTTTTGGCGTGCTTTTGACGCATTTTATCAATCACTTTTGGTGCTCTTTTTCTCAATTTTAGTCCTCTATTTTCACATTTTTGTCGTTGTTTTGATGTATTTTTTTTTTGTTCTTTGTGATAAATAATAATAAAGATTTATTTACGTAATCTGTCCTTTATAACATGTCATTGTTCATAGCCGCCTTTTTTGTTTCCTCTTTGTTGTCGTCTTTTTTTGTATTTTTTGTTCGCTTTTTTGTTTCGTTTTTTGTCGTTTTCTTTGTCTCGTTTTTGTCACTTTTTTGCGGTTACCATTTTCTGTTTAATTTTTTTGGACTTTTTATTCTTTTTTATTTTCTTCTTTGCGACTTTTTGTTCCTTTTTATTTTCTTCTTTTTGTTGTAATTTTTGTCACCTTTTTGTTGCATTTTTTGTGGACTTTTGTTGTCTTTTTGGCCTTTTTTATAGTCTTCGTTGTCACTTTTCTAATATCCTTTCTTCTTGATTTTTTTCTATTCTGGTTTCGTTCCCTGTTTATACTTTATTTGTGGATCTTTTATCTTTTTTGGTGTGTCTTTTGTCTTCCTTTTTCTGTCACCTTTTTTTCTCGTCTTTTTGACCTGCTTCTTTTAGTCGTATTTTTGGCGTTTTTTACTTAACTTTTTTTGTCCTTCTCACATTTTTTTTTTTAATTCAAATTTCAAATTTTTATCCTTTTAGTGGATTTTTAGTACTTTTCATTTTCCTTCTTGCGACTTTTTCACTTTTGCAGCCGCTTTTTGTTATTTTTTTCTTGTCTTTTCTTTTGTCGCTTTTTTTGTGCTTTTTTTTGTCTCGTTTTTATCACTTTTTACACACTTTTTTGTGTACTTTTTCCTGTATCTTTTTCCTTTTATCATCTTTTTTGTTGATTTTTTTTGTCATCTGTTTCTGTTGTCATTTTGTAACTATTTTTGTAGACTTTCTATGGCTTGTTTAAATGTTTTATGTCTTCTTTTATTGTCATCTTTTCGACTTCCTTCTTTCAGTCGCATTTCCAAAAATGCGACTGAAAGAAGCTTTACACTTTTTGTTTTGGTCTTTTTTCGCACTTGTTTTAAGAATTGCGTTTGTTTTCGCATTTTTTGTCACTTTTTGTAGCCACTTCTTGCTTTTTTTATTATCTCTTTTGTCGTCTTTTTTGTTTCATTTTTGTGGACTTTTTGCGTTTTTTCTCATTTTATATATCGTTTTCGTCATTTTTTAGTCACCATTTTTTAGTTGGATTTTTTTGTGGAGTTTTTGTTTTTTATTTTCTTCTGTGTGACTTTTTTTTGTCACCTCTTTTTGCGTTCTTTGTTTTTGTTATCTTCTTGCTGCTGCCTTTTGTGAACTTTTTATTGTCTTTTTGGCATTTTTTATAGTTTTCGTTGCCACTTTTTCTAATAGATTTTTTTTGTCTTCCTTTTATTGTCACTTTTTTCTCGCCTTTTTTAACCTCCTTCTTTTAGTCGTATTTTTGACGCAATTTTTTACTTGTCTTTTTGTTTTGGTCTTTTTTCGCATTTTTTTTTAATTGTTATCCGTTTTTATATTGTTACGAAATAAAGCCATAGGCCGCCCCGGTACGACGCCCATGAGTGTACATCACCGATGACTCATTATCGGTGGCGGCGGCTGGAGACGAGCCTGGAAGCGGAAGTCGCGAATGGGTGCTCCACAGAAGTCTAGAAGCGGTGACTTTAGCGTTTCGAGAAGGACCTCGTCCTGCTTAAATGAGAACACCACCGTCGGGAGCAGTCAGTAGTTCAGACAACGAGAGCTGAATTCAGTTAACAAGCCGAACCCAACGAGTGTCGAGAAAACCCAGTTGCACCGGAATTATTTTGTACATAGTCGCTGTGTAATTAGACGTGCAGATTTAAGCTACTATATAAAAAATAAATTGTTGAGTTTTACCCACGTCGATATTATTCATCGATCAAAGTAACAATATTTTTCTCCATTTAGTCCTTCTCATTTTTCTTTTTGTGACTTTCTTTCACTTTTGCAGCCGTTTTTTGTTTTTTTGTTGCCTTTTCGTTGTCGCCTTTTTTTGTTACTTTTTTTTTGTAAACTTTTTGATACGTTTTTTATATCGTTTTTGTCACTTTTTGCAGTCACTTTCTTTGTTGAATTTTTTTATGTAGTTCTTCCTGTATTTTCCCCTTTTATTGTCTTTTTTGTTGACTTTTTGTCGTCTGTATCTGTTGGCATTTTGTAGCTATTTTTTTTTATTGTATTTATTTTCTTTTTGTGACTTTTTCACTTTTGCAGCCGCTTTTTGTTTTTATTTGTTGCCTTTTCGCTGTCGCCTTTTTTACATTTTTTATGAACTTTTTTTGATACTTTTTTTTTGCTTTTTTTGTTTCATTTTTGTTACTTTTTTTTTTGTTGAATTTTTGTGTCTATTTTTTCTTGTAATTTTTTTTCTCTTTTATTGTCATTTTTCTTCTTCTTTTGTCGTCCGTTTCCGTCGTTATTTTGTAGATTTTTTGTCACTTTTTTAAAACAGTTTGTTTTCTTTTTTGTCGCTTTTTTTGACTTCCTTCTTTCCGTCGCATCTTTGGTCTTTCTTTTCGCACTTTTTTTATTCTCGTCCATTTTCGCATTTTTTTTTTTCGCCTTTTTAGTTACTTTTGTAGTAGCTTCTTATTTTTTTTTTGTTACATGTTTTGTCAACTTTTTTAGTTACATTTTTTGCGAACATTTTGATGTCGTTTTGGCTTTTTTATACTCCTTGTTGTCACCTTTTTCTTAGATTTTGTCGCTTTTTTAACGTTTTTTTATTACTTTTTCTGTCTAAAATCCTCTACAGATTTTTTATTGCGGACATTCAACGGAACTGAACTTGAACTTCCAAAATATGCTATTTTTGCTGTGTAATGTGGAAGTAAATTGCAGTGTGAGTTGAACATAGCGAAATTTTAATGTTAGGTATGTTTACGTGTTTATAATTTCACTAGTGTAGTAATCAAGTAATAAAGCACGATTATCAATGATCTTATTTTTTTCTTAATATATTATTATTTTGAAAATTATTAACTCAGTTTTTACATTTATTTGAACAGATGTCGTGACGGAAATTTCGGATTCGTAATTCCCGGAAGATCATCTACAATTTAACACAAATTATAATAATTATTCCTGCAATATTCCGACGTCATTCATATGGATGAAAAATAAAACAGGTATAAAATGGCATCCTTGTAGAACTCCTAAAATAACATTTATCGTTGAAAGTTGAGATTGACGGTTTATCAATTCACTGAATTAAACTTCATAGTTTATTTAGACCAGTTTTCGCTATTTTAAGAAGTGTAGATGTGTAGATACCGATGCGTACTTTAAAATCATTCATGACATGACAAAGAAAGATTTCCTATCCTTGAAAGTGGTTATTGAGATGCGTTTTATCGATATTTTAAGCTTAACAGTAATATTCTAGTTTTTTGCCACGGAATTTCCGCAAAAAACAACGAAACGTCACACTGGAAATTTCGTAATTGGTTTAGTCGGTAATTGAAAGAACTCCCTAATCAAAATAATTTAACTATTTATAGAAGTCGCCACAAAGCTGCTAAGTATACATAGGTTAGGCCCAAAAAATGACGCTCTTGTATTTACCGTTTTATCAACTTGTCTAATCTCCAACATTCTTTTTAATAATAAATAAAACATAATGCGGTTACAGCATCCATAAGAAAGAGGAAAATACGAGGTCACTGAATCAAAATTAAGTCGGAAACAAGAACAACTTTATTAATATTTTAATTTAACACTTCTTCACCATCTCCGTTCTCCTCTTGTATTGCGGTTACCTTATGTCAGGGCTATTAACATATCTTAAAACATGGTGAAAATATTCATGTTATGTTCTACAAGACATTTTAAAATCGTTTTGGAATTTAACATTATATGTACGTTATTAAGCAATTTTATCATTTTTTTTTAATTCCAGTAATTAATTTAATTACGCTACTAATTATTCAAGTTGACACTTGCAGTGTACCGTACAGGGCCGTATCAAAGACAAAAAACTCACAGATACAGTTTCTTTAAAAAGTGTGTACTTCAAAATTATTTACAGAAATCCACAAAGTTAATAAATATCAATTTATTAAGAACGGTCGGAAGTATAAAATTACTTAAAAGTCTTCTCTAGTTGCTCAGCAATTGCTTCTAAAAAGTCCTGAGTATTTAAATACATGTCTGGCTTAACATTAGGCAAGCCATGTATAGAAGCTGCCAAATCCTTGGTCATTTTCCCGGACTCGACACAGTCGACGCAGGCCTTCTCCAGAGTCTGGGCAAACTTGGCCAGATCGGGAGTACCATCCAACTTCGCCCGGTGCTCCAAACCCCGAGTCCAGGCAAATATAGACGCGATGGGGTTGGTAGAAGTGGGGTTACCTTTCTGGTGCTCTCTAAACAAAAACAGACCCATAACCATACATGGTACACACAATAATAACGGTAATGGTACCTGTAATGTCTGGTAACTGTACCATGAGCCGCCTCCGACTCGATCGTCTTCCCGTCCGGACACATCAGCACCGAGGTCATCATCCCCAGCGAGCCGTACCCTTGTGCCACTATATCCGACTGGACGTCCCCGTCGTAGTTCTTGCACGCCCACACGAACTTCCCGACGGACTTCAACGCCTGCGCCACCATATCGTCAATCAGCCGGTGCTCGTACCAGATCTTCTTGGCCTCGAACTGCCCCTTGTACTCCTTCTCATAAATCTCCTGGAAGATATCCTTAAACCGCCCGTCGTACCTCTTCAAAATGGTGTTCTTGGTCGACAGATACAACGGCCAGCCCTTATTTAAAGCTACTTGGAATGACGAATGCGCGAAGGCCTTGATGCTCTCATCCGTGTTGTACATCCCCATAGCCACGCCCCCCGTCTTGTAATTGAACAACTCGTACCTCACCTCCTTCCCCTCGTTGGGGGTGTACACCATCTCGACTTTCCCGGGCTTGGTTACGACGAAATCGGTCGCTTTGTACTGGTCCCCGTGGGCGTGACGCCCGATGATGATGGGGTTGACCCATCCAGGTACTAGTTTAGGAATATTCTTGCAGAGGATGGGCTCGCGGAAGACGGTGCCGCCGAGGATGTTTCGGATGGTGCCGTTGGGCGACAGCCACATTTTCTTCAGTTTGAACTCCTCTACTCGTTGCTCGTCGGGGGTGATCGTTGCGCATTTGATCCCTACGTTGTGTTTGAGGATGGCGTGGGCGGCGTCGATGGTCACTTGGTCGTTGGTCTGGTCTCGGTAGGGCAGCCCCAGGTCGAAGTAGAGGGCTTCGATTTTTACGTAGGGGAAGATGAGGCGCTCTTTGATTTTTTCCCAGATGATGCGGGTCATTTCGTCGCCGTCCATCTCGACGACGGGGTTCTTGGCCACGACGCGTTGGGCGCCATCTACAACGAATTTGTTTTCAATTCACCAATTTTAATTAATTATTATTATTCATTTTTTATCTGTCATGCAACCACCAATACACGTGTGCATATTTGGTTGCCTATACACACTAAATGGATAAATCAAACTAATACAGATTTTTCTCGATTTCAAGGCAAAAATGAGACGAATACACCTACATTGAAGGAAAAATTTTAAACTCTCACTAAGTACTAAGTTTGAATAAAGTATAGTTCGATTGCAGTATACTAATTCTGTAAATGCATTCAAAGTTTATATTTGACATTAACTAGATGAAACACAGAAATATTTAGGTTTGCTATTAACATGACTCGAAATAATTTTACAAGGTTGTACATGTTTATTTTTCAAGTATAATAGAATCCGTTCATACGTAACGATTTAAAAAGCTTATTTATACATCGCCATAAATGCAGAATTTATATAGTTTAAAATAAACATAGAATGATAATAAAACAATAAAAATTTTAAAAAGAAAATAATATCATCATTAAAAAATGTATGATCATGACATAACGTCACTTGGGTATGAATATGAACACAGATGCTTTTTCCGCCGTCTACTTTTATATTTATTATATTAATTTCTCTACTCTTTCTAATTTATGAGTGTAGGATCTTTAAGGTCTTAGGAGTTTGGCATTTTCGAAACTTCAAGTTACTATAAATTTGTATGTTTAGAATTTCTAGAATATGCACGATCTTTAAGACTCTTTAGAATTTGAATTTCTAGAATCTGGACGATCTTTAGAATCCTCAGGATCTTTAAATTTCTAGGATTTTGTAGGATCTCTCTTATATTTAGAATCTTAGAAATTTAATTTATAGGATCTAGAAAGCGTGGAGGCTTTAGAATCATTGGAAATTTTAGACACTTTAGGATTACTAGAAATTTAGAATGTTTAGAATTTCTGAAATTTCCACAAACTTTAAAGCTCCCTAGAATTTCTAGGAACATTAGGACCCTCAGTATCTTTAAATTCCTAGGATTTTGTTAGATCTTTCTTAAATTTAAAAGCTTAGTTAGTTAGTTTATTTACAATTTGGAATTTCTCTAATCTTTCTAATTTACAAGATTCTTAAGATTTTTAGAATTTCTCTTTGTCTTTAAATCATTAGTGGGAACAGTAGAAGTTTAAAATTTCTGAAATCTCCAAGATCTTTAAGGCTCTCTAGAATTTCTAAGATCTTTAGGACCCTCAGGATCTTTAACTTTCTAGGATTTTGTTGTATCTTACTTATATGTAGAATCTTCGAATTTTAGTTTATCTACAAGTCGGAATTTCACTAATCTTTCTAATTTATGGGATCTTTAAGGTCTTTAGTATGTCTGGAGTCTTTAAAATCATTGGACATTTTGGACACCTTAGGGTTACTAGAATTTAGAATGTTTAGAATTTCTAGGATTTTTAGGAACCTCAGGATCTTTAAATTTCTAGGATTTTGTTGAATCTTTCTTATATTTAGAATCCTAGAACATTGGTTTGTTTACAATTTGGAATTTCTCTAGTCTTTCTAATTTACAGAATCTTTAAGTCTTTAGAATCATTGGACATTTTGGACACTTTAAGATTACTAGAAGTTTAGAATGTTTAGAATTTCTATGATTTTTAGGCCCCTTAGGATCTTTAAATTTCTAGGATTTTGTTGAATTTTTCTTATATTTAGAAATTTAGAACTTTAGTTTATTTACGATTTGGAATTTTTCTAATCTTTCTAATTTATAGGATTTTTCAATTTTTTAGAATTTCTGGAGTCCTTAGAATTATTGGACATTTTGGGATTACTAGAAGTTTAAAATTTCTGAAATCTGCACGATTTTTAAGGCTCTCTAGAATTTCTACGATCTTTAAGAGTAGGACTCTCAGGATCTTTAACTGTCTAGGATTTTGTTGGATCTTTCTTATATTTGGAATCTTAAAACTAAAGTTTGTTTACAATTTGGAATTTCTCTAGTCTTTCTAATTTATAGAATCTTTAATATCTGGAGTCTTTAGAATCATTGGACATTTTAGGATTACTAGAAGTTTAGAATGTTTAGAATTTCTGGGATTTTTAGGACCCTCAGGATCTTTAAATTTTTAGGATTTTGTTGTATCTTACTTATATGTAGAATCTTCGAATTTTAGTTTATCTACAAGTCGGAATTTCACTAATCTTTCTAATTTATAAGATCTTTAAGGTTTTTAGAATGTCTGGAGTCTTTAAAATCATTGGACATTTTGGACACCTTAGGTTTACTAGAAGTTTAGAATGTTTAGAACTTCTAGGATTTTTAGGACCCTCAGGATTTTTAAATTTCTAGGATTTTGTTGGATTTTTCTTATTTTAGATTTCTAGAACTTTAATTTATTTACAATTTAGAATTTCTCTAATCTTTTTAATTTACACGATTTTTCAGATTTTTAGAATTTCTGGAATCTTTAGAATTATTGAACATTTTGGGAATACTACAAGTTTAAAATTTCTGAAATCTCCAGAACCTTTAAAAGTCTCTACAAATTCTAGGATCTTTAGAACCCTCAAGATCTTTAACTTTCTAGGATTTTGTTGAATCTTTCTTACATCTTCTTAGAACTTTAGCTTATTTATAATTTGGAATTTCTCTAATTTTTCGAATTTACAGAATTTTTTAGATGTTTAGAATTTCTGGAGTCTTTAAAACATTAGTGGGATTAGTAGAAGTTTAAAATTTCTGAAATTTCCAAGATTTTTAAGGCTCTCTAGAATTTCTAGGATCTTTAGGACACTCAAGATCTTCTAAGATTTTCTTGGATCTTACTTATATTTAGAATCTTCGAATTTTAGTTTATCTACAACTTGGAATTTCACTAATCTTTCTAATTTATAGGATCTTTAAGGTCTTTAGAATGTCTGGAGTCTTCAAAATCACTGGACGTTTTGGACATTTTAGGATTACTAAAAGTTTAGAATCTTTAAAATTTATAGGATTTTTAGGACTTCCAGGATCTTCAAATTTCTGAGACTTTGTTGGATTGTTCTTATATTTACAATTCTAGAACTTTAGTTTATTTACAATTTGGAATTTCTCTAATTTTTCTAATTTACAGGATTTTTTAAATTTTTAGAATTTCCGAATTCTTTAGAATTAGTGAACATTTTGGAACTACTACAAGTTTAAAATTTCTGAAATCTCCAGAATCTTTAAACCTCTCTACAAATTTCAGGATATTTAAGGCACTCAGGATCTTTAACTTTCTAGGATTTTGATGGATCTTTCTTATATATAGAATCTTAGAACTTTAGTTTATTTACAATTTGGAATTTCTCTAATCTTTCTAATTTACAGGATTTTTAAGGTTTTTAGAATTTCTGGAGTCTTTAGATCATTGAACATTTTGGGATTACTAGAAGCTCAAAATTTCTGAAATTTCCAAAATCTTTAAGACTCTCTAGAATTTCTAGGATTTTGAGGACACTCAGGATCTTTAACTTTCTAGGATTTTGTTGGATCTTTCTTATGTAAAGAACCTTAGAACTTTAGTTTATTTATAATTTGGAATTTCTCTAATCTTTCTAATTTACAAGATTTTTAAGATTTTTAGAATTTTTGGAGTCTTTAAATCATTGAATATTTTGGGACTACTAAAATTTTAAAATTTCTGAAATCTCCAAGATATTTAAGACTCTCTAGAATTTCCAGGATTTTTAGAATCCTCGGGATTTTTTTAAATGTTTAGAATTTTATTGGATCTTTCTTATATCTATAATCTTAGAACTTTAGTTTGGTTACAATTTGGAATTTCTCTAGTCTTTCTAATTTATAGAATCTTTAAGATCTGAAATCTTTAAAATCATTGGACATTTTGGACACTTTAGGTTTACTAGAAGTTTAGAATGTTTAGAATTTCTGCAATTTTTAGGACCCTCAGGATCTCAGGATCTTTAAATTTCTAGGATTTTGTTGGATCTTTCTTATATTTAGAATCCTAGAACATTAGTTTGTTTACAATTTGGAATTTCTCTAGTCTTTCTAATATGTACAATCTTTAAGATCTGGAATCTTTAAAATCATTGGACATTTTGGACACTTTAAGATCACAAGAAGTTCAGAATGTTTAGAATTTCTAGGATTTTTAGGCCCCTTAGGATCTTTAAATTTCTAGGATTTTGTTGGATTTTTCTTATATTTAGAATTCTAGAACTTTTAGTTTATGTACAATTGAGAATTCTTTAATCTTTCGAATTTATAAGATTTTTCAGAGTTTTAGAATTTCTGGAGTCTTTAGAATTATTGGACATTTTGGGATTACTAGAAATTAAAAATTTCTGAAATCTCCAAGATCTTTAAAGCTCCCTCCAAATTTTAGCATCTTTAGGACCCTCAGGATCTTTAACTTTCTAGGTTAGATTTTTCTTATATACAGAATCTTAGAACTTTGGTTTATGTATAATAAAGTTGTAATTTCTCTAATCCTTCTAATTTACAGGATTTTTAAGATTTTTAGAACTTCTGGAGTCTTTAAATCATTGAACATTTTCGGATTACTAGAAGTTAAAATTTTTGAAATTTCCAGGATCTTTAAGACTCCCTAGAATTTCTAAGATCTTTAGGACTCTCAGGATCTTTAACTTTCTGGGAATTTGTTGGATCTTTCTTATATATAGAATGTTAGAACTTTAGTTTATTTATAATTTGGAATTTCTCTATTCATTCTAATGTATAGGATCTTTAAAGTCTTTAGAAAGTCTGAAATCTTTAGAATCATTAATCATTTTGGACCCTTTAGAATTATTGGAAATTTAGGATGTTTAGAATTCCTAGAATTTCAATGATCTTTAAGACTCCCTAGAATTTCTAGGATCTTTACATGTTTAGGATTTTGTTGGACTTTTCTTATATTTAGAATCTTAGAACATTAATATATTTACAATTTGGAGTTTACTCAATTTCTCTAATCTTTCTAATTCATAGGATCTTTAAGATAAGAAAGTCTGCAGCCTTTAGAATAATTGGATATTTTGGACACTTTGGGATTACTAGAATTTTAGAATGTTTAGAATTTCTAGGATTTCTAGGAGTTTTTATGACTCCCAGGATCTTTAAATTTCTAGGAATATTTAGATTTTTCTTATACTAATAATTTATACGAACTTTAAGACTCTCTACAATTCCTAGGATTTTTAGGACCCCCAGCATCTTTAAATTTCTAGGATTTTGTTGTATCTTCCTTAAATTTCGAATCTTAGAACCTTAGTTTATTTACAATTTGAAATTTCTCTAATCTTTCTAATTTACAGGATTTTTCAGATTTTTAAAATTACTGGAGATTGAATATTTTGGACACTTTGGAATTACTATAAATTTAAAATATTTAGAATTTCTGGAATCTCCACGATCTTCCCTAGAATTTCTAGGATTTTTAGGATCCCCGGGATCTTCAAATTTCTAGAATTTTGTTGGATCTTTCTTAAATTTAGAATCTTAAAACCTTGGTTTATTTAAAATTTGGAATTTCTCTAATCTTTATAATTTACAGGATTTTTCAGATTTTTAGAATTACTGGAGTCTTTAAAATTATTGGACATTTTGGGATTTCTGAAATCTCCAGGATCTTTACAGGCCTCTAGAATTTCTACGATTTTTAGGATCCTCGGGATTTTTTAAAATTTTTAGGATTTTTTTGGATCTTTCTTATATCTATAATCTTCCCAACTTTTTTAGAATTCTAAAATTTTTTAGAAAGTCTGGAGTCCTGAAACATCGGATAGTTTTGACACTTACGGATTGCTAGAAGTTAAGAATGTTTAGAATTTCTAAATTTTTAGGTTTTTGTTGATTCTTTCTTAAATTTAGGATTTTAAAACTTTAGTTTATTCACATTTTGGAATTTCACTTTTTTTTCTAATGTATAAAATCTGTAAAGTATTAAGAATGTCTGGAATCTTTAGAATCATTGGCCATTTTGAACACTTTAAAATTACTAGAAGTTTAGAATGTTTAATATTTAAAGAATCCACGAATGAAAATTTTATTGTAAGTCAAGTATAGTACTTGTTAACACTCTGTATATACTTTAACAAACATAAAACATCGTACATAAAATTATTTAAATCAAGTATATACCTGGCAACTAGCAAAACACGTATATATTTGGTTGCCTACATCGTCATTTGAACTTTATTGAGAAACGAAAAACTAAATTAATAGTAGCAAAAAACACAAACATTAATAAAAATTGGTAACATATACAAACACGAGAAATTGTTGCAACATTGCAAATCTCCAACAACAATTTAATAATAACTTTTAATAATGAAATTCAAGCGAAACAATAAACAAACTGTATCTCTTATTTCCCAACAGTCAAAACATTACGTATCAAAGATTATACGTACACTCTTACTTTTCCACATGCTTAAAAAAACGCAACCCAAGAATTAAACAATAATTAAAACTTCCGACGACCGCTCATTGTCTTTAATTAAAATTAATTCATGAGAAGTTGAAATTTAAGAGTCAACTTTGCGTGCGAAACAATAAAATTTAACTTCTCTAATTCAAGTTTACTTCTATTTCCTATTTTGGATATTCCGCATAGCACAAAGTGCGTTCAATATTCAACCCGAAATCCACCAAATTTGACAAAAAAATATTATGTTTACATCGAAGTGATGGATTTTATGTAGTTATTAATACCTCAACACGCAATTTATCGACTCTTCAAAACATCTTCACCGATCTATTTCGAAACCAGTTAAAAATACCAAAATTAATTGAGCAAATATTTATTTGATGTAAGCAACGTCGATTTTTTTACGTATTGACGACATCAGCTCGCTTACACCCCACGGGATTTTCAAAAATAAATACTCAAGAAATAAAACAGCACGTAGGATGTGTTTTTAAAAATTAATCTCGTCCGACTCAATTAAAAACACGATAAATTGAGTGTTACACAACGATCTTATTCATGCACAGTTCCCGTTGTAGTAACTGCATATACGACTTTCTATTTGTACTCAACAGGTTTTGACGTCAATCGCCCTCTTCATTATAAACAAGATTAAAAAATAGCGCGTGGCGAAATTCGAATTTGGCGCGCTGGTTTAGGTTGGCAACGCCACGTTCTACTCGCCAAAAATTGAATCTAGTGAGCGGGTTTTCAAAACGTCAATGCTACACGAAAATGGAAGTTTTTGGGTGGTGAAAACGCGGTACCATGGTGGTATCTGGTACTGGGTGAGTTTCCTATTATTAGGTTAACAATTAAATAGTTATTACTAAATCGTTGTCACGAGTTTGATAAGGTTAACCCCTTATCTCCGATAATTTATTGCATAGTTAGCCCCCTTGTCACCGGACACATCCAACCCAGAAAAACCTGAGATAACCCCTCAACCTGAACTTTGGCTCGAAGTGAATCTGCGCACCCTCAACATGGCCGCAGGTCCGTGCTTTGCCACCCCCACCGTCCCACCCCCGCACCCCACACAAACCAAACTCAACAATACTCACAGTTCCTCGTGCTGTGGAACACCGCCGCCCCCGACCGGCTTTTCGCCCCCAAGCTCTTACAGAATTTCGTCAAAGTGCCGGCCATCATAACCTCAACCTCTTCGACCCGGAGAGAAACTGAAAATCGAAAAACAACTTGTTGAAGTTACTGCGGCGGCAGTAGGCGGCGGAAACGGCCGAGGTTCGACGACTCCACCTACCACGTTTACACGGGGCGCTTGGACCGGACGCCCGCGGCGTCACCGGCGTCCATGATTGCCGGTTGCGGGGGTCGCGGCCGGACGACCGCAACTAAAACCCTTTTTGTCGATTTGGCAGGCCGCGATTGGTCGATGAGGCGTTCCGGGGGCTCGATTGCCCCCCGTGGAGGGGCTACGCCCATCGGTGGAGGGGCGGCGCGCCTACGTCACTCGCACAGTGTAAACGCGGCAAACGGATGAATTAAGCCGGGTTTTTCATGCAGCAGGAGCTTTCAGTGCGGGTGCTGATAAAACAGATGTGTTTGTGGCTGGGAGAAGTTCGAAGTGAGGGGTTTAAGCTTTGAGAGGAGGAATTCGGGAAGTCTGAAGGGGTCTCTGTTCTTTCGTGAAATTTTGGTGAGTATTTTTAAATATGGTGATAGGATGGGAGAGTATATTTATTGCGGCGATTGTTTTCTTTATTATAATTCTGGTTAATTATAGCGCTACAAGTACCACAGAAAGTGGTTAGTTCTATTTCTAAAATTATTTAGCAGACGAGTATTTAGGTCGATAACCCTTTTTGCGTTTCACGGTGGGTCCAGAGGAACTGTTAGACTCGACACGTGAATAAATTACGATATTACTCGCACAAAAACCAATTAGTTGGAAGGTACTTGACCCAGCGTCCCAAACGAGAATTTATATAACCGCTTTTTTTGATCGACTGCTTTTACTCACTTTTCCCTCGCTTGGAACACTTTATGCAGACAAGTTTTGGCAAGAAAGGTCGTTATGCTGGCAGGTAGACGGGAGACCCCCCATAAATCGGTCGTAAACCCATTGAAAGCAAAGCTTTACTGAGACGACCTGGTCACCAAAAAAGGGTTCAATGAGGACCTGCAGGTACCCAGAGTCATGGTCAGGGTCACAAATCGACGAAATAAAAGCGTCATACTTTTTATTACAATTTATTGTTGCTGCTATTATCGCAACAAACACGTGGTCGATGAGAAAGTGTCGACGTTATATACATAGTTGCCATGTGAATGGGAAGTACTCGATCTATTGTGAATGCAGTTAGATAACTATTGATAAAATATCGCTTATGTAAGCGATAAGAACTCGAAAGGTTCGTAGGAAATGTTAATTGTGTGAATTCTTCAAATCGTTCGCTAGTTTATCTACTAGCTTGTGGCGGTTTTCCAGAATAGTCGTTTGTTTACTAAAAGTTCGTACTTGCGAGCAACAAGGCACAAGTCCAAGAATCCTACCTGCGTTTTAAATGTCGATAGAAAGCTTTCTGCGAAGTCGTGAATATTTATCGATCTTTATCAATAGTTTATTGAAGCTATATCTGGGTTCAATAGCTTGTTTCCCCTAAACAGTTATTCTTAACTAGCATGCATTAGTATAATCTCGGTAGTTTGTTCTCTCATTGTCTTTTATAATTAATTGTTCGACGATATCTTCGATGAATTACTTCTGAGAACCTATTATCATCTACTTACGTAATTATTCAATTAGTTGCAAGTGGACGACGAGTGATTAAATTAATGCATATGGAAAATAAATGTGGTCAAATTTTGTTTTGTTTGAAATTACATAACCGACAACTAAACTTTTATGTATACATTGGGATTAACATGAAGCTACAAAATCGCTAAACAAAGTGTGCATTAATCCTCTTCGATAAACTTTTGACGTCACAATTAGGTTAAATAAATCTCACTGCAAATGTGCAACTGACATGCTTTCTGCTGTCACTATTTTAAACCAAACACATCAAAGCTTGCTTTGAAATTTTGTTTGACGTACGATTTAGTAGATTTGTTTATTTATTTAAAAACAATGTGTATAAACTGATTTATTTGTGGTTATTTGAGGAACGGCTGCTAGATTTACGTGAGCTTTTGGTTACACGTTTATGTCGGTCAAAAAATTGACGTTATCACTTCTTCGACAGAAAAAAACGATTTTTCTTTATCGATGGAATTGTTGGTGGTTTGTTTGTCCACATAGATACGATTGTTTTATCATGACCTATAAATTCCCGCAAAAGTAGGTAAACGTACCGTCCACGGATGTGTGACGTCCGTGGGTTCTTTCACTTTGCGGATTAATGGCAGGCCGAAACTTTCAGTTGTAAAGATCACGAACTCATTATTTATGTAAATATGATTTTTTTTTAAATACTCGGTCATAATTTGTGAACGTGTTTTTTTACTTCCCGAGTGTAAGCTAAGGAAGTATTGTAAGAACGTCCAAAAAATGAGCTTTTAACCCCTATAACTTACAAATTTGAAAATTATGAAAAATTTTTGCGGTTTTTATTTTCTTATAACCTCTATAACGTTGAAAGCAGTGGTGTAAATACACTTCCGCAGCTTTTTTGACTAGAATTTTTCAATTCTTCAGTTTTCAATTTTTAATTATTCAGCTTTTTGTTTCTTTAATTTTACGACTCTTCGAGTTTTCTTTTTTAAAAATTATAAGTTTTTCGATTTTTCAAGTTTTGATGTTTCAATTTCTGGTTTCTGCATTTTTTTTATTTTTCAATTTTTTGATTTTGCTATTTTTCATTTCGATTTTTGGTTTTCTTTATTTTTAAAAATTTTCGATTTTCAGTGTTCTGATTTTATAATTTTTCTAGTTCTCCTTTTCAATATGTAATAATAATTAGAATTTTCAAATTTTTCACTTCAAGTTTGCGATTTTAGAATTTTTTTTTTTTCAATTATTGGATTTTATTTTTTTTTTTCATTTTTGAGTTATATTTAATTTTTCAGTTTTTCGATTCATTATTTTTTTAGATTTTCAGGTTTCTCGGGTTTTTGTTTTTCAGTGTTTTAATTTTTCGTTTCTTCAGTTCTTCGACTTCCAATTTTTGATTTATCACTTTTTGGATTTTGCAATTTCTCTAGTTATCAGTTTTTAATTATTCAATTTTTCGTTTCTGTTTATTTTCTTCATTTTTGCAAGTTTTCGGTTTGCAATTTCAATTTTTTCTTATTTCAGTTTTTCGATTTTGCAGTTTTTCATTTCTTCAGTTTTTCGATTTACAATTTTTCGTTTCGGGTTTTTCAAATTTTGATTTTTCAACGTTGCGATTTTATAATTTTTGCTTTTTTCAATGTGGAAGATTTCAATTTTTCGTTTCTGTTTTTTATTTTCTTCATTTTTACAATTTTTCGATTTTCCAGTGTTGCGATTTTATAATTGTTTGTTTTTTCAGTTTTTCGATTTACAATTTTTCGTTTCGGATTTTTAATTATTTTTTTTTTTCAAATTTTCAGTTTTTCATTGTTTCGATCTTATAATTTTTCATTTTTCAATGTGAAAGTTATCAATTTTTCGTTTCTTCAATTTTCGATTTGCAATTTTTCTAGTTTTCATTTTAAATATGTAATAATACTTATGATTTTTAAAATTTTTCAGGTATTCAATTTTACGATTTTAAACCTTTTTCATTTATTGAATTTTAATTTTCGAATTATATACATACTCACTATTTAATTACCTTATTCAGTTTTTCGGTTTTAGGAATTTTGGATTTTCCAATTTTTCGATTCGATTGGTGTTTCTTTTTTCCAATTTTTCGATTCATTAACTTTTTTCGACTTTTAAGCTTCTCGGGTTTAGTTTTTCAGTGTTTCAATTTTTCTTTACTTCAGGTCTTCGAGTTCCAATTTTTCGATTTTACAATTTCTCGAGTTTTCCGTTTTTAGTTATTCAATTTTTTGTCTGTTTTTTATTTTCTTCATTTTTACAATGTTTCGATTTGAAATTTTTCGTTTTGCTTTGGTTTCTTCAATTTTGCGATATGCACTTTCTTGAGTTTTCATGTTAAACCGGTAATAATAATAATAATTGAAAACGATGTTCACGTTTTGAATTTTACGATTTTTGAATTTTTCTATTTTTGAATTAATGGATTTTTAATTTTAAAATTTTTCGATTCTTCAAATGTCATTCGGTTTGCAATGTTTCGTTTCCCTTTTTTATTTTCTTTATTTTTACAAGTTTTTGATTTTTCAATGTTCCGATTTTATAATTTTTTGTTTCGATTTAAGTTTTTTAGGTTTTTCGTTTCTTCAATTTTTTGATCTGTAATTTTTTATTTTTTTTTCGTGTTTTTTGTGTATTGCGCTTTACGACATGTAGTAACTCTACGAGTTTTCATTTTTAAATTTTTAAGTTTCGATTTTTCAACTTTTGGATGTTTCAATTTTTAATTTTTGCAATTTTTAGAATTGCAATTACTCATTTTTTTCTATTTTTCAATTTTTCGATTTTGCATTTTTTATTTCCTTAATTTTTCGTTTCGGATTTTTAAGTTCTTTATTTTTTCAAATTTTCCGTTTTTCAGTGTTTCGATCTTATAATTTTTCATTTTTCAATGTGAAAGTTTTCATTATAAATATGTAATAATAATTAAATTATAATTTAAAAAAATTTTCAATTTTACAATTTTTTCATTTTTCAATTATTGGATTTTAAAACTTTTTCATTTTTCCGATTTTTAATTTTTGAATTATATACTCACTATTTTATTTTTCAGTTTCTTGATTTTACGGATTTTGGATTTTCCAATTTTTCGATTGGATTGGTTTTTTCTTTTTTCTAATTTTCGATTCATTAATTTTTTTCGATTTTTAAATTTCTCAGCTTTTAGTTTTCCAATGTTTCAATTTTTCGTTTCTTCGGTTCTTCGACTTCCAGTTTTTCGATTTACCACTTTTTCGATTTTGCAATTTCTCGAGTTTTCAGTTTTTAATTGTTCAATTTTTCGTTTCTGTTTTTATTTTCTTCATTTCTACAACTTTTCGTTTTTCTTTTATTTCTTTAATTTTACGAGATGTAACTCTTCGAGTTTTCATTTTTATTTTTTAAGTTTTTAGATTTTTAACTCTGGATTTTTCTCTCAATTTTTCGATTTGCAATTACATTTTTTTTTCGGTTTTGCAATTTTTCATTTCTTCAATTTTTCGTTTCGGTGTTTCATTTTCTTAATTTTTTTAAATTTTCGTTTATTCTGTGATCACTGATCTTATAATTTTTCCTTTTTTATTGTGAAATTTTGCAATTTTTCGTTTCTTCAATGTTCGATTTGCAATTTTTCACGTTTTCAATTTTACGATTTTATAATTTTTTTATTTTTCAATTATTGGATTTTCAAACTGTTTCTTTTTTTCGATTTTTGATTTTTGAATAATATATTCACTATTTAATTTTTCAGTTTTTCGATTTTACGAATTTTGACTTTTCCAATTTTTCGATTCGATTGTTTTTTTCTTTTTTCCAATTTTTCGATTCATTAATTTTTTTCGATTTTTAAAATCCTTGGGTTTTAGTTTTTTAGTGGTTCAATTTTTCGTTTCATCCGTTCTTCGACTACCACTTTTTCGATTTTGCAATTTCTCGAGTTTTCGGTTTTTAGTTATTTAATTTTTCGTTTACTTTTTATTTTCTTTATTTTTACAATTTTACGATATGCACTTTCTTGAGTTTTCAACTTAAAATTTTTGAGTTTTCCGATTTTCCAACTTTTGGATGTGCAATTTCACAAATTTTCATTTTTCCGATTTTCCAAGTTTTAAATTTTTTTATTTTTCATTTCTTCAATATTTGATTGGCAATTTTTAGTTTTCATTTTAAACAGGTAATAATAATGATAATAATAATTAAAAAAGATGTTCACGTTTTCAATTTTACGACTTTTGAATTTTTCGGTTTTTTATTTTTCAATTTTTCGATTCTAAAATTTTTCATTTCTTCAAATATCAATCGGTTTTGCAGTATTTCGTTTCCTATCTTTATTTTCTTTATTTTTACAAGTTTTTGATTTTTGAATGTTACGATTATGTAATTTTTCGATCTGTAATTTTTTATTTATTTTTTTTTCGTGTTTTTTTTTAGTTTTAGGACATACAATTCTGCGAGTTTTCGTGTTTAAAATTTTTAAATTTCGATTTTTCAACTTTTGGATGTTTCCATTTTTCGATTTTGCAATTTTTTATTCCTTTAATTTTTCGCTTCAGATTTTTTATTTCTTTATTTTTTAAAATTTTCCGTTTTTCAGTATTTCGATCTTATAAGTTTTCATTTTTCAATGTAAAAGTTTTCAATTTTTCGTTTGTTCAATTTTCGATTTGCAATTTTTCTAGTTTTCATCATAAATATTCAATAATAATTATAATTTAAAAATTGTTTCAATTTTACAATTTCAGAATTTTTTCATTTTTGGGATTTTTAATTTTTCAACTATATATGTACTCAGTATTTAATTGTTCAGTTTTTCGATTTTACAGATTTTGGATTTTCCAATTTTCCAAACGAGAAACAAAAAAATGAAACTTGAAAAAATTCAAGTTGAAAAATTGAAGAAGCGAAAAACTGAAAAATCAAAATTAAAAAAAGCAAAAAATTATAAAATAGAAAAATTATAGAATCATCAAAAAAAATTGTAAAATCGGATCATCGAAAAATTATAAAAATAAAGCAAATAAAAACCGAAACGAAAAAGTTTAATAAATGAAAAATGAATCGAAAATTTGAAAAAGTAGAAAAATCGAAAACTCCTGAATTGTAGGTTGAAAAATTGCAAAGTTTAAAAAATGAAAAAACAAAAAAAAAATTGAAGAAGCAAAAAACTGAAAAATTATAGAATAGTCAAAACTATAAAGTTGAAAAACTAACATTGAATAATCGAATAATTGAAAAAATAAATATCGAGACATTGAAAAATTAAAAATCGAAAAATTAAAATCAAAAATTGAAAAATTCTAAAAACGAAAAATCGAAAAAGTGACAAGAAGGAAAAAAACGAAAAACTAAAACTACAAACAAAAAAATGTTTCGTTTTTCTTTGGTTTCTTTAATTTTACGACATGAAACTCTGCGAATTTTCATTTTAAAGTTTTTAAGTTTCAATTTTTCGATTTTGCAATTTTTGATTTCTTTAATTAGTCACTGTTGACTCCGAAGATAACCATACGATTTTGTTCAAAAAGTTTAAAGTGACTGAAATTAATTGTGTTAGTATTAAGATGAAAATAAGACACCTGTTGTTTTTAAATAATTTATTTAAATTTTTAACGGTGAAGGTTCCTGTAGGTGAACACATTTAGCGCACTCTGTGAATGCGAACTATACCCGTTTAGGGGCGGGGCTTATGAAGCGTGGCTTCTAGACGACAGTGGCGCAACGATTTTAGCATAAAAAGGTTACGTTTTTACAGTAAATGTAAAGCACTGTGAATTTCAGTATAAAAGACAATCTAAATTGTATAATCACATTCTTAGAACTGTGACTAGTATTTATTAAATGTGGCAGTAATAAGATATTGTGGGTCAGGGTGCACGCCACTGCAAACATTATATCAGTTATGCTCTATGTGTATGTATTTTTTGTTACGAAAGAATACACTGGAAATGTTTAATTTGTTTGTTAAATAAATGCTGTTTGTTTACAATTTTGTTTACTCAAAAAGAACAGAAATAAAAAAACAAGCGTACTTTTTTATTATTCCCTCTAACTACACATAATCTTTATCCATCTGAGGGATTCAAAAACGAGACATTCAGTGTGCCGCCACTGCTACCTGTACATATCGGCTGTCGTGTCACTTTACACACGTATCATTTTACCCAGCTGTTGCTATCTTCGTTCGTCCGCAAACTAAACACTTCCTGTTATGCGTTTTTCGTCCTTATCATTTCCCGATAAAACTCGCAACAAATCCGTTTCGGTTTCTTGATTCGCTAACCCGAAATTATTTTTTCCTGAATCGACGTAAAAACAGAATGATTTTTCAGGTTTCAAGGCTACAACATTGAGCTAACAATTAACGGGATAAAATAAACAGCGAAACTGTGCCAGTATTTCGATTATCACCGGTACTTTCACATGACGGCGCCTTGTTTTATGCGCTCGTGTGACAATTGACATTTATTTTCGTATCTGGTTTACTATTAATTTTATATTCCGTTATTTGTAATAAGTAAGTGACGAAACCGTCAATCAGTCGTCGGCGTTTCGTCTAAAAATGAGTGTCATTTTGCTAATATCAGCAAAATTACAATTAAACACTCGTGTTGAGTACCCTCTTCCAGGTGTTACCAAATCGACGATATTGCTATATCATTACTTAATTTCGATTATCTTATTAGTGAACTCAATTCTTGATAGATAAAGATCGGATTATTTCTAGATTCGCAGATAAAGCGTTTCCTCGGTGTCTCTTGACGACAAAATTCGCTAATTCTGTAATTTGTGGGATTGTATGAGCTCGTTGGTCACGCAAACACGGAGTGTGTTATTAAAACAATAAGAACAATAGCTCTCGTGATAAAAGTCGCTTTAAAAACATGTTGCGATTGAGTGAAATTCCACCAGTAATAAAATAACAAGATCGATGGTGCAATCGGAGAAAATGTCAATAAGCTGCACCTCACTTTCTGCTCCACTTTAACAAATTGGACTGTGACACAACCTTTGACACGTCCCTTCCCGCTTTTATCAAATTTTTACAAACACAACAACGCTATTAAAATAATCCTCAGTTGCGCATCGCATTTTGGCCGAGAGTTTGAAAGTTCAGGATTGGCTTTGTGGGTATGTCTTTGAAACGCATTTCGATATTGTTCCAGTTTCGATTTTTCAATCTCGATCGGTTATCGGGGAAAGTAAAAGTGGAACGAAATTCCTCCGATCGATCATTTTGTCTGAAACTAGTATTAGAGCTAATGATAAAAAAGTCTTGGCAGAGTAGCATAATCAACGGTAAATCTTCGCTTCCAAAAATACTTTTTCCAGGATTAGGTCTGTTCTACCAGATATGTACGAAAATCCGGCTATTTTTGTGTTAGAGATCACAGTAAAAGTGTATCGCCTTAAACACAAACAACGATGTTGTAAATAATAATTGCTCAATTAGTGCGACATTCTGTAATCGGGAGCTATAAGTCATTTTTAAGCTCTGTATTATAGATTACGCGAGTTTTCAAGTACGAGTTTATTTTGAAATGAATTATAAGCTTGCGGATTTAAATCCGAACCATTTGCGTCACACGTCTTCGTAAATATCCGACAGATGCCCCATTTATAACCATTGACAAGAAAAAAATTAATAGCGTCTACCTACACTGATCGCGCGTTCTACGACTGCCAATTGATTCGGTAAACATTTACCCAAGGAATTTTGTCAATTAGACCGTGTTACGACTTGCACAAATTAAATTTCTGGTTGGCTTTTATCACCTGACCTGATATATTACTATTAAATAAAAAGCATTAAGTACGTGTCGTACTTGAGTCAATATTTGCTTAATCCTTTGGCGTACCGAGATAAGAGACATATGTACAATTGCCGTAAATCTTACTGATTGTGTTTTCCAGAGATGTGCTGACGCCAACCACCACAATGGCTAGAGGAATTTTTCGCGTTTATTACACCAGACGGAATCTCTTAACTAATGTAGACAAACAAATCGTGCGAACATCGAAATTCCACACCGAATGCCCCAAATACAGACGATGTACTTTGGAGAGGAACTTCTCCACTCAGGGAGAGGCCGTCGAAGGAACCCCTTACAACAAGCTATCCATCGGCATTCCCAAAGAGCTGTGGCAGAACGAAAAACGTGTAGCACTGACTCCAGCAGTCGCTCAAACCCTCTCAAAAAAGGGCTTCACGGTTAACGTCGAGGAGAACGCCGGCTTGGGGGCGAAATTCAGAAACGAGGACTACGAACAAGCCGGGGGGAAAGTAGTCGACGCTAAAAAGACCTTCGAGTCTGGTTGGTACCACAACGGTACCCGTTAATCCATCACTCATTCAATTCGCTTCCAGATATTATACTAAAAGTTAGGCAGCCGTTAGACAATGAAGTTAGCAAATTTAGAGAAGGTAGCACACTTATATCATTCCTGTACCCCGCCCAGAACAAGAGTCTAGTCGACAAATTAGCAGAAAGGAAGATCAACGCTTTTGGTACTTATTTATTTTGTTGTTGTTGTTGTTGTGGTGGTACGAACGACAGTTTTTAGCAATGGACTGCATTCCACGTATCTCTAGAGCTCAAGTTTTCGACGCTCTGAGCTCCATGGCCAACGTTTCGGGTTACCGCGCGGTAGTCGAAGCCGCCAACCACTTCCCGAGGTTCTTCTCGGGTCAAATAACCGCCGCCGGGAAAGTACCCCCCGCCAAAATCCTGGTAATCGGGGGCGGCGTGGCGGGCCTCGCCGCCATCGGTCAAGCCAAAAGCATGGGAGCCATCGTGCGAGCGTTCGACACCCGTTCGGTCGTCAAGGAACAAGTGGAATCAATGGGGGCCGAATTCTTAACCATCGAAATCGAAGTAAGTACCCGGCACGTCCCTTTATTCCACACAAACGTTGTCTGGATTTAGGAAGAAGGTGGTACCGCTGGCGGCTACAGCAAAGAGATGTCGAAGGAGTTCATCGACGCCGAGCACGCCCTTTTCGCCAAACAATGCAAAGAAGTGGATGTCCTCATCACCACGGCGCTCATCCCCGGGAAAAAAGCGCCCGTGTTGATCTTGAAGGTACTCTTGTTCAATCGTACAATCGCACGCAAATGTTTTGAGCCTATGGGCGGATCGTTTTTGCCTGCCTTCACCGAAGAAGGCGTATAAAAAATTTCATCACTTTTTCAAATAAAATACTTTTAAATGTTCATAATAAATAAATAAAAAAAAACGATATTGTCGTTGAGTGACATGTAACTGGCATAATAATAAAAACGTGCCATTTTTGTTAACTGATATTTTTTTCATAAATGTCGCAAAATTATTAAATTTGTCTAATCATCCCCACCAATAATATGATGACGTCACTTCAAATTTATGCATAGTAAATGGGTTTTAAATTGTATACAGTAACATAGTCCTACACATGTAGTTTAAGACTCCGTGTTGAATTTTTATCCGAAACGTCCAGATTTTTGGAAAAAAAATCAAAATTATAAAACAATATTTTGCAATTTAATTTTGAATTTGCAAAATCGAATACTTTGAAATCTTGCAGATGTTTTAAAGTCATGATAAACATGATACATTTTTTATTAAAATATATTTGCTTATCCCCTCTAAAAAATTTATGACGTCACCTCAAAATTTTGCAGAATAAATCCTATCTTAAATGTATAAAATATGATGAGTTTTTATACTTGTGATTTATCACTGCATTAATATTTTTTTAGATTCGGTTATACAGGGTGTCTCAAAAAAGTTAATGACTGAGTCAATTTGTTTTATTGAAGAAATCAAGAATAGCAAAACTAAATACTTTGAAATATTGTAGATGTTTTAAAGTTTTTGTAAGCATGGTAACTTTTTCGAAAATTTGATTAATCTAATCGGAAATCGGAAAAACTGAAATTCACTAATGCAAAAAACAGAAAATCGAAAAATACAAATCGTAAAAATCGAAAATCTAAAAATGGATAACCAAAAAATCGAAAATTCAATGAATCAAATACCGAGGTCGATCGAAAAGTGGAAATTCACAAACCTCAAAAATCGAAAATTGAAAAACGGAAAAACCAAAATATCGAAAAGTCAAAAATTTGTAATACTGAAAATTAAAAAAATCTAAAACAAAAATTAAAAAAAATCGGAAATTAAAATAATCAAAATATATAAAGTAGAAAAAATTGCAAAGCCTAAAAACTGAAACGAACAGAAAAATCGAAAAAGCAAAAAATTGGAAAAACAAAAATTCGAAAAATCTAAAATCGCAAAAGTGGAAAATCGAAAATCTGAATAAAGAAACTTGGAAATTCTGAAAATTGGAAAATCGAAAACCAAAAAATCGGAAAGAAACAAAATTGAAGTCTAAACGGTGAGAATGGAAAAATTGAAAAACCGAAAATTCTAAAAATCGACAATGGACAAATTGAAAATCGCAAAATTTAAATCGAAAAATTGAACATAGAAAAATCGATGAATTGAAAAATCGAAAATTCGACTACTCAAATTTTCTAAAAATCGAAAAATCATAAAACCGAAATATCCAAAATTCTAATGGTCGAAAGTCTGAAAACTGAAAATCGAAAATTCTGAAAAGCGGAAAATAGAATATCGAAAAATTTAAAAGAAAGAAAATTGAAGTCTAAAAACCGAAGAATGGAAAAATTAAAAATCAAAAATTCGAAAAATCAAAACCGAAAAATGGAAAATTCAAAAATCGAAAAATAGGAAAACAGAAAATTCGAAAATTCATAATATTGAAAACTCTAAAAGTCGACAATTCAAAAATCGAAAAGTAAACAAATTTCAAAGCCTAAAAAGTGACGAACAGAAAAATCGAAAACTCGTAAAAACATAAAGTGGAAAATCGAAAACTGGAAATTGAAAAATCGGAGATTGGAAAATCGAAAATCGAAATATCGAGAATCGACAAATTAAAAAACCGAACAATCGAAAAATTAAAAAATCGGAAATCGAAAAATGAAAAAAAAACGAAAATTCAAAATCGAATAATCCGAAACTAAAACAATAGAAAAGTGGAAAAGTGAAAATTGCAAAGTCTAAAAATAACGAACAGAAAAATCGAAAAATTAAAAAAATCGAAAAATATCTAAAAATGGAAAAATCGAAATGCTCAAAAATCGAAAATTCGATTAATCAATATTCTAAAAACCGAAAAAACGGACAAAAATCCACAAATCTGAAAAATCGAAAATCGAAATATCGAGACTCGAAAAATTAAAAAACCGAAAAATTGAAAAATCCCAAATCGAAAAATAAAAAAACCAAAAATTCAAAAATCAAACTATCGGAAAGTAAAATAATCGAAAAATGAAAAAATAAAACAAATCGCAGAACCATAAAAACTGAAACAAACAGAAAAATCGAAAAACCACAAAATCGGAAAAACGAAAATCGAAAAATCGTAAAATAAGAAAATGGAAAATCGAATACTCGAAAATTGAAAAATTGAAGGTCGAAAAATAAAAAATCCGAAAAATCGAATAATTTAATGATTAATGGAAAATCGAAAAATCGAGAATACAAGATTTAAAAAACCGGAAAATTGAAAAATCGGAAATCGAAGAATTAAAAACGTAAAATGGAAAATTCAAAAATCAAAAAAATCGGAAAGTAAAATATAATCGAAAAATGCAAAAAAGTTGCAGCAAAGTCTAAAAACTGACCAACAGAAAAATCAACAAATCGAAAAACGGAAAAACCGAAAACTCGAAAATTCAAAATACCGCAAATTTGAAAAATCAGAAAATGGGAAAGTAAAAAAATCGAAAAGTTGATAGAAAAATGGAAACTGAAAAATCTAATTAGATGAAACGGTTGGTCGAAAAAACGAAAAATCGAAAATCGAAGTGATCTTTCTTTGAAACAGCCTGTATAAGTAAATCTAAAAAATATTACTGCAATGATAAATCACAGGTACTGACTCATCACATAAAAAAAAAACGATATTGTCGTTGAGTGACATGTAACTGGCATAATAATAAAAACGTGCCATTTTTGTTAACTGATATTTTTTTCATAAATGTCGCAAAATTATTAAATTTGTCTAATCATCCCCACCAATAATGTGATGACGTCACTTCAAATTTATGCATAGTAAATGGGTTTTAAATTGTATACAGTAACATAGTCCTACACATGTAGTTTATGACTCCGTGTTGAATTTTTATCCGAAACGTCCAGATTTTTGGAAAAAAAATCAAAATTATAAAACAATATTTTGCAATTTAATTTTGAATTTGCAAAATCGAATACTTTGAAATCTTGCAGATGTTTTAAAGGCATGATAAACATGATACATTTTTTATTAAAATATATTTGCTTATCCCCTCTAAAAAATTTATGACGTCACCTCAAAATTTTGCAGAATAAATCCTATCTTAAATGTATAAAATATGATGAGTTTTTATACTTGTGATTTATCACTGCATTAATATTTTTTTAGATTTGGTTATACAGGGTGTCTCAAAAAAGTTAATGATTGAGTCAATTTGTTTTATTGAAGAAATCAAGAATAGCAAAACTAAATACTTTGAAATATTGTAGATGTTTTAAAGTTTTTGTAAGCATGGTAACTTTTTCGAAAATTTGATTAATCAAATATGCGGCAAATCGAAAATCGGAAAAACTGAAATTCACTAATGCAAAAAACAGAAAATCGAAAAATACAAATCGTAAAAATCGAAAATCTAAAAATGGATAACCAAAAAATCGAAAATTCAATGAATCAAATACCGAGGTCGATCGAAAAGTGGAAATTCACAAACCTCAAAAATCGAAAAATCGAAAATTGAAAAACGGAAAAACCAAAAAATCGAAACGTCAAAAATTTGTAATACTGAAAATAAAAAAATCTAAAACAAAAATTAAAAAAAATCGGAAATTAAAATGATCAAAATATATAAAGTAGAAAAAATTGCAAAGCCTAAAAACTGAAACGAACAGAAAAATCGAAAAAGCAAAAAATTGGAAAAACAAAAATTCGAAAAATCTAAAATCGCAAAAGTTGAAAATCGAAAATCTGAATAAAGAAACTTGGAAATTCTGAAAATTGGAAAATCGAAAACCAAAAAATCGGAAAGAAACAAAATTGAAGTCTAAAAGGTGAGAATGGAAAAATTGAAAAACCGAAAATTCTAAAAATCGACAATGGACAAATTGAAAATCGCAAAATTTAAATCGAAAAATTGAACATAGAAAAATCGATGAATTGAAAAATCGAAAATTCGACTACTGAAATTTTCTAAAAATCGAAAAATCATAAAACCGAAATATCCAAAATTCTAATGGTCGAAAGTCTGAAAACTGAAAATCGAAAATTCTGAAAAGCGGAAAATAGAATATCGAAAAATTTAAAAGAAAGAAAATTGAAGTCTAAAAACCGAAGAATGGAAAAATTAAAAATCAAAAATTCGAAAAATCAAAACCGAAAAATGGAAAATTCAAAAATCGAAAAATAGGAAAACAGAAAATTCGAAAATTCATAATATTGAAAACTCTAAAAGTCGACAATTCAAAAATTGAAAAGTAAACAAATTTCAAAGCCTAAAAAGTGACGAACAGAAAAATCGAAAACTCGTAAAAACATAAAGTGGAAAATCGAAAACTGGAAATTGAAAAATCGGAGATTGGAAAATCGAAAATCGAAAAATCGAGAATCGACAAATTAAAAAACCGAAAAATCGAAAAATTAAAAAATCGGAAATCGAAAAATGAAAAAAAAACGAAAATTCAAAATCGAATAATCCGAAACTAAAACAATAGAAAAGTGGAAAAGTGAAAATTGCAAAGTCTAAAAATGACGAACAGAAAAATCGAAAAATTAAAAAAATCGAAAAATATCTAAAAATGGAAAAATCGAAATGCTCAAAAATCGAAAATTCGATTAATCAATATTCTAAAAATCGAAAAAACGGACAAAAATCCACAAATCTGAAAAATCGAAAATCGAAATATCGAGACTCGAAAAATTAAAAAACCGAAAAATTGAAAAATCCCAAATCGAAAAGTAAAAGAACCAAAAATTCAAAAATCAAACTATCGGAAAGTAAAATAATCGAAAAATGAAAAAATAAAACAAATCGCAGAACCATAAAAACTGAAACAAACAGAAAAATCGAAAAACCACAAAATCGGAAAAACGAAAATCGAAAAATCGTAAAATAAGAAAATGGAAAATCGAATACTCGAAAATTGAAAAATTGAAGGTCGAAAAATAAAAAATCCGAAAAATCGAAAAATTTAATGATTAATGGAAAATCGAAAAATCGAGAATAGAAGATTTAAAAAACCGGAAAATTGAAAAATCGGAAATCGAAGAATTAAAAACGTAAAATGGAAAATTCAAAAATCAAAAAAATCGGAAAGTAAAATATAATCGAAAAATGCAAAAAAGTTGCAGCAAAGTCTAAAAACTGACCAACAGAAAAATCAACAAATCGAAAAACGGAAAAACCGAAAACTCGAAAATTCAAAATACCGCAAATTTGAAAAATCAGAAAATGGGAAAGTAAAAAAATCGAAAAGTTGATAGAAAAATGGAAACTGAAAAATCTAATTAGATGAAACGATTGGTCGAAAAAACGAAAAATCGAAAATCGAAGTGATCTTTTTTTGAGTCACCCTGTATGTATAAACAAACCCAAAAAATATAAATGGAATGGTAAATCACAAGTATAGACTCATCATATTCTGAACATTTTAGATATGTATGTGTAGTTTGAGCCTACCTACAAATTCTGCCCTTGGACGATTTGTACCGCCTCGTTCGGTGACGACCGGCAAAAACGATCCGCCCATAGGCTCAAAACATTTGCGTGCGATTGTACCGACTATAATGACGCTGGAATTGCAGGATCACGTACTCTCCATGAAACCCGGGAGCGTGGTCGTGGATTTGGCGGCCGAAACTGGAGGAAACGTGGAAACGACGAAACCTGGAGAGGTTTATGTTTTGAATGACGTGACCCATGTGGGTCTCACTGATTTATCTAGTCGTCTGCCAACCCAAAGTTCGACTCTGTATGCCAATAACGTGTCGAAGTTCCTGTTGTCGATGGGGGAGAAGAACCACTTTAATATTAATTTGTCGGACGAGGTGATCCGAGGGAGTATTATTCTGGACAAGGGGAAACTGATGTGGCCACCGCCGGCACCAGTAGGACCTCCGCCTACCACCGCGCCCGCGAAGAAAGTCGAAGCGGCTGTGAAGGAAGTCGCAGTTCAAGACACGCCGCTGATGGTGACTGTGAAAGATACGTTGATGTGTACTGCTGGTGCGTATAGTGTGACACGAAAAGGGAAACAGTCTGATGTTTTTGTTCAGGTATTGGATCGATATTAGGACTCGGGGTCTTGTCGCCCAATCCAGCATTTACTTCCATGTTAACCACATTTGGTTTATCTGGCATTGTTGGATACCATACTGTATGGGGAGTAACTCCTGCTTTACATTCTCCTCTTATGTCCGTAACTAATGCTATTTCAGGTATTACAGCAGTTGGGGGCTTGCTTCTCATGGGAGGCGGGTACTACCCCACTAACTCCGTTGAGGTACGTGTTTTACTAGCGACTGCGAGTGTTATTATTGGTGGTGTTGTTTCAGGCGTTAGCTGCTGCTGCAGCCTTTGTCTCGTTTATAAACGTATTCGGCGGTTTCGTCGTCACAAAACGCATGCTGGACATGTTCAAAAGGTACCCACAATCAACTGACCCACTTTTTTCACTAAGTAAACGATTTTCAGGCCCGAAGACCCCCCAGAATACAACGGTCTTTACGCAATCCCGGCCGCCGGTTTTCTGGGAGGCTACGCCTGGGCGGCTCTCCAAGGCCTACCCGAAATCCACCAAGCCGCCTACTTAGCCTCATCCTTACTGTGCGTGGGAGCTCTAGCTGGTCTAAGCTCCCAGAAGACGTCAAGACTGGGCAACAACATCGGCATGGTAACCACCCGTCATCCCACCGACTGCGCCAATTCTACAAGTTTTAATTACAGATCGGAGTGGCTGGAGGCATCGCCGCTACTTTAGGCCACATGGCTCCAGACGTAGACGTTCTAGCCCAAATGGCGGCATGCCTAATCGGCGGCGGTAGCTTGGGCACCCTCATCGCCAAAAAAATTCAAATCACGGACCTGCCGCAACTGGTCGCCGGTTTCCACAGTTTGGTCGGACTGGCGGCTGTGTTGACGTGCACGGCGACTTTCATCCATGACTTCCCCAATTTCGCGACCGACCCAGCTGCCAATGTTATCAAGACGGCGCTATTTCTGGGTACTTACATCGGAGGGGTGACGTTCAGCGGGTCCTTGATCGCCTATGGCAAGCTTCAAGGGGTACTCAAGTCGAATCCGCTACTTTTACCCGGGAGACACGCACTAAATTCCGCTCTTTTGCTAGGAAACATAGGAGCGGGCGCCTATTTGTTCTACGACCCGACTATGATGGGCGGGTTGGGCGCCTTGGGTACCACGGCGGCGTTGTCAACCGCGATGGGGGTAACACTAACTGCAGCGATAGGTGGAGCTGACATGCCCGTAGTCATCACGGTGTTGAATAGTTACTCGGGGTGGGCACTATGTGCTGAAGGTTTCATGTTGAATAACAACTTGATGACGATTGTTGGGGCGCTGATTGGATCGTCGGGAGCCATTCTGTCGTATATCATGTGCAAAGCGATGAACAGGTCTCTCCCGAACGTGATCCTTGGAGGGTATGGTACCTCGAGTACCGGAACCGGGAAACCAATGGAAATCACCGGGACCCACACGGAAATTAACATCGAAGGCGCGATTGATGCGATCAGTAACGCAAGGAATATCATCATCGTTCCGGGTTACGGGTTATGTGTGGCGAAGGCGCAGTACCCGATAGCGGAAATGGTCAACGTTTTGAAGAGTCAAGGGAAACACGTCAGGTTCGCCATACATCCAGTCGCTGGTGAGTGCTCACCCATTGTATTGAAACAAAAACAACTATGTGGTTGTTTTTAGGTCGTATGCCTGGACAGCTGAACGTGTTGCTCGCCGAAGCGGGAGTCCCCTACGACGACGTCCTCGAAATGGACGAAATCAACGACGACTTCCCCGAAACCGACCTGGTATTAGTTATAGGAGCCAACGACACTGTTAACAGCGCGGCCGTCGACGACCCCAACTCTCCGATCGCGGGCATGCCGGTGCTCAACGTGTGGAAGTCGGATCACGTCATCGTGATGAAGCGGTCGCTGGGGGTGGGCTACGCCGCCGTCGACAACCCCGTCTTCTACAAAGCCAACACGTCGATGTTGTTAGGGGATGCCAAGAAGACGTGCGAACAGCTTCTGGCGAAGGTCATGGCTGCCAACAATTAGTCGCAGCCGGCTGACCGTGTGCGTGCAACTCAGGAAAAACGTGTTATTTTTAAATTCGCAACGCTTGACGAGTGTTTTCTTTTTCTAATGTCTTTTACATACTAGGTTAAGTAACTCAACTCTACTTTATTTTAAAAACTTAATTACAATATTGTACGAGTTCATACGGCGCCTTGTTTGCGTTCGTAATTCTGCAAAGTGTACATATTAAAGAAATAAACTCACTTGTAATATACGTACCATTTTGGCCACTTCTCTGAGGTTTTTGGCCATGGCTTTGCCGGTTTTTTGGACCATGCTGGAGAAGTGGCCGGATTTGTCTTGTAAGAGGATGTGGGGATGGTCGAACTCTACCGCGCTTCCGCCGTCCATCACTAAAACCCTATCCGAGTCCATGATGGTGTGCAGTCGATGGGCGATTGTTAGTACCGTGCACTGCGCAAATCTTTGGCGTATCGTGGTTTGGATGAATTTGTCGGTTTGCGGGTCGACGTTGGCCGTCGCCTCATCCAGTACTAGGACTTTGTTGTTACGGAGTACCGCGCGCGCGAGACATATCATTTGGCGCTCGCCGACACTAATGTTAACTCCACCTTCCGACACGTGGTGCTTCAAACAATCTACGGAACGCGAACTAAGACGTTCAAATTTAGTACATCTACTCACTAGTCCCTTCCATCATTGCCATTCTACTTTCGACAACTTTCAAAGCCGCGACGATGTCTTCGTCCGCATAGTTGTGAAAAGGGTCCATGTTGTACCTCAAACTCCCTGAAAACAAGATTGGTTCCTACTGGGACAATCGTCATGTAGTGCGAAAGTATCGGTGGCACCTGGGGGATTATAGACACTTTTCTCCTGAGGTCGTGCAACCCGATGTACCTGGTGTCGATTCCGTCGATGATAACAGCGCCTTCGAAGTACGCCAGTCGGAACAAAGCGGAGATGAGCGAAGACTTCCCGGCCCCTGTTCGCCCCACAATACCTATCTAGAAATAGGGTTGGTACTCCAGTAGTACCCCATTATTATATATACCTTTTCGTTCGACTCTATCTCCAAATTGATTGATTTGAGTACCGGCGGCTCGTCGGGCCGGTATCTCATAACCAAGTTCTGAATCTGGATTTCGCCCTTGTCTGGCCACTCCGGCGGCGGTTTTTCGTCAGGTTTCTAAAAATTTGGTTCGACTAAAACAAGAAATCGGTAAAGGTAGTACCGATTCTAGATCCGGCTCGTGCTCGACCCGCAAGAATTCTAGTATTCTTTCAACTGATGTCATTTGATTTTCTAGTTCGGCGGACTGCTTCATCCCCCATTGGAACAACCCGGTTAAACCAATGCTCGTGGTTATCGCTAAACCGACGCTGCTGCCCGTGTTGACTAGAATTTTAATTAGGGTAGTACCATTGTTTAAGTATATTATAGTTGGACAACCTAATACAAATTTTACTTCGCCTAAATAGTGAGCTTTAGGACAAGGAATCCAGGGGGCGTGGGACAAATTTTTCGTCAACGCGCATTTTCACTACAGTGAGCGAACGTATTAGGTTTATTTTACTCTACTTCAGATGGCGCCATCAAACATTAGCAAAGGCAAACACCCTTCACTCTGCTCTTATACGAGGAGTTATCCATAAATCCATAATTAACATTGTTTCGTAAGGAGTAATGTGTATAGACATATATATACAAAATATGAAAATATACTTGACATAAAAAATATGAAGCAACGCGTTGTAACGTGATACGAAAGAATTGTATTTAAATGAATTTGACGCCTATTTTTATTTGACTATCTGAAGACTGACAGAAACTTTAAAAAAGGTTGGTGTCACAAAAATATTAACACAAAATGAAAATATATATTCAAAGTAAATAATAGAATGACAAACTTTCGGCGTTGACATTACAAATAATTACAAGACAGAAAAAAAAAAACGCATGTTTGTAATACCGGGTTGTTAAAGGCTGCTTTGAAGACTGTTTGTTTCTATGAAAAACAATTGATGAAATCCGACGTTTTGGTAGATTTTGTTCCAAAAATACGAGATAACTAATTGTTTCTTGAACTAGTTTCCGTAACTTTTAAAATTTAAAAAGGATACGGCATTCTGTTGTAATAAAATCTAGAATAAGGTCAAAATCACACATTAGTGTGATGTTACTATTAAATTATTAAATCAGATGTGATATTAATTACATCTGATTTTGTCAACCACATGAATATAATTTACATTAAAATAAGTTACAGACATTGTTTGAAATGTTTACTATATTTCGAAAACACTTCTTCAAGTGTTAATTTTTTTAAGATGTAATATTTGTCAGCGTTTCCAAAATTTTCCTCTTTGCACAGGTCAAGTATTTTTTCGTAAATCGCATTTTAAAATTTTTGTTATTGTATTTTTTACTTTTTAATTTTCTAAGGCATGAAAAAATCCCATATAGGTTTCTATGAATTTATTAACGAAATCAACTGATAACTTGCGCGCCATTTTGTGTTAATTAATATCAATAGTGATTATGATAATTTTAATCCATCTGAATGAAAATCCATCTCTCCCAAATATTTTACACCGATATAAATTTATTACTTTCTTGGCACGATTTGTAATCCGAAGTCTCCCTCCACATGCAATTTTTCGTCGCCTGAGAACTTGTTTGATCTACAGACCAAACCACACTCAGGCCAATATCGGCTTTAAGCGATCTATCTATAAGTTGACATTCGTTGAAGTTGATCTGATACACATCCACTACGAAGAACTAACCCGTTTCGACCATTGGACTTTACAAGTGAACAAAGTTCTTGAACATCTTAACGATTTAATACATAATGTTTCCGAATGACAAAATTTACATTTCAAATTGTATTATCAAATGGTAAAACACTCACCAAAATTTGTCACCAACAATGAAATGACGCAATCTCCAAATTTTACAATACTAATCCTCCGTTTACGGTTTATGCATCTGTGTTGAGTTTTCACCTTGGACGTCAAGATTTTTGGAAAAAAAAAGAACATTTTCCAATTTATAATGTTATTTAAATTTAAAAAAATAGCATAGTCCTGATCTTGTGATTTATAAATACGCTATTGAGACTTTTAGGCTTTTCGATTTCTCGATTTTTCAACTTTAAATGTCTCAATTTTTCAATATTTCAATTTTGGGCTTCTCCAATTCTTCCATTCTTCAAATTTTCCATTTCTCGATTTTTACTTTTTGGATTTTCAATTTATTGTTAAACTTTAGATTTTTCAATTCTTCGACTGTTTTATACTTCGATGTTTTAATATTTCATTTTTTAAAATTCTAGGTTTTTCGATATCTCGAGTTTTCAATATTTCTGTATTTCAATTTTTCCAATTTTTTAATTTTAATTTTCGATTTTCCAGTTTTTCTTTTTTAAAATTTTTCGATTATTCAATTTTTTAATTTCTCAATTTATCGAATTCAGATGTTTGTTGTTTTGATTGTTCAGTTTCTCAATTTATCAATTTTTAACTTTCCTTTTCGACTTACGACTCCTTAATTTCTCGATCCTTCGATTTCTCGATGTCTCAGTTTTTGAATTTTTCGATTTCTCGGTTTCTCGATTTTTTTTCTTTTGAGCTTCTCAATTTCTGGATTTTCCAATTTTTCAATTTTTTAAATTGAATTGGATTTCTCGATTTTTGAATTTTGCGATATTTTAATTGTTCCATGTTTTAAATCTTAGATTTTTCGATTTCTCGATTTTTTGACTTCTCAGTTCTTCAGTATTTAAATTTTTCAATGAAAAAATTTCGACGTTAAATTTTCAGTTTTCTGATTTCTCAATTAATCTATTTTTGATTTTTCCACTTCTCAAAATTTCGATTTTTCAGTTCTTCAATTCTTCAATTTTTCGACTTCGCTTTATTGGTTTTTCGATTTCTCAATTTTTGGATATTTCTTTCAGTTTTGATATTTTTCAATATTTCGATTCTTTGATTTTTCGACCTCTAGATTTTTCGATTTTTTATTTCTGGGTTTTCAGTTTTTCGTTTTTTATACATTTAAATTTTTCAATTTTTCGATTGTTTTATATTTCAATTTCTCAATTTTTCAACTTTCCCATATTTTAATTTTTAAATTTCTAGATTTTTCGGTTTCTCGATTTTTCAGTTATTCAGTTCTTCAATTTTTCAATTATTCAGGTTTTTGATTTTTCAATTTTTCGATTTTTTAAGTTTGCGATTGGGAGCAGTACGGCTCAGATAGCCCCTAGCGCGGCACAGCGATAATGCTCATGAAGCAACGCTGTCCGCAGTCACTTTGTGGATGGGTGGCCAAGATCGCCATACCTATCTGAGCGGCTCGGTGCGTCTCCTCCCTCGACACCCAATGGGTAAAAGAGGGTAACAGATTATATAATATAAGTTTGCGATTTTTCGACTCTGCTTTTTTGACTTTTCTGTTTCTCAATTTTTTAATTTCCTAATTTTTGGATATTTCGTTCAATTTTGTGATTTTTCAGTTTTTCGATTTCTCAATTTTAACTTTTCAATTTTTAAATTATTAGTTTTTTCGATTTTTTGAGTTTTCAGTTCTTCTATATTTTAGTTTTTCAATTTTCGGAATATTTAAATTTTCTATTGTCCAATTTTTTTTTATTTTTCGATTTTCCAATTGTTCGATATTTAAATTTTTCAATTTTTAACTTTCCTTTTCGACTTAGGACTCCTCAATTTCTCGATCCTTCGATTTCTCGATGTCTCAGTTTTTGAATTTTTTGATGTTTCGATTTTTGGATTTCTCCGTTTCTCGATTTTTTTTCTTTTGAGCTTCTCAATTTCTGGATTTTCCAATTTTTTAATGTTCCGATTTTTCAATTTTTCAATTTTTTAAATTGAATTGGATTTCTCGATTCTTGAATTTTGCGATATTTTAATTGTTCAATGTTTTAAATCTTAGATTTTTCGATTTCTCGATTTTTTTACTTCTCAGTTCTTCAGTATTTAAATTTTTCATTGAAAAAATTTTGACGTTAAATTTTCAGTTTTCTGATTTCTCAATTAATCTATTTTTGATTTTCCTACTTCTCAAAGTTTCGATTTTTCAGTTCTTCAATTCTCCAATTTTGGACTTCGCTTTATTGGTTTTTCGATTTCTCCATTTTTGGATATTTCTTTCAGTTTGATATTTTTCAATACTTCGATTCTTTGATTTTTCGACCTCTAGATTTTTCGATTTTTTATTTTTGGGTTTTCAGTTTTTCGTTTTTTATACATTAAATTTTTCAATTTTTCGATTGTTTTATATTTCAATTTCTCAGTTTTTCAACTTTTCCATATTTTAATTTTTAAATTTCTAAATTTTTCGGTTTCTCGATTTTTCGATTTTTTAAGTTTGCGATTTTTCGACTCTGCTTTTTTGACTTTTCTGTTTCTCAATTTTTTAATTTCCTAATTTTTGGATATTTCGTTCAATTTTGTGATTTTTCAGTTTTTCGATTTCTCAATTTTAACTTTTCAATTTTTAAATTATTAGTTTTTTCGATTTTTTGAGTTTTCAGTTCTTCTATATTTTAGTTTTTCAATTTTCGGAATATTTAAATTTTCTATTGTCCAATTTTTTTTTATTTTTCGATTTTCCAATTGTTCGATATTTCAATTTTTCAATTTTTAACTTTCCTTTTCGACTTACGACTCCTCAATTTCTCGATCCTTCGATTTCTCAATGTCTCAGTTTTTGAATTTTTCGATGTTTCGATTTTTGGATTTCTCGGTTTCTCGATTTTTTTTCTTTTGAGCTTCTCAATTTCTGGATTTTCCAATTTTTTAATGTTCCGATTTTTCAATTTTTCAATTTTTTAAATTGAATTGGATTTCTCGATTCTTTTTTGCGATATTTTAATTGTTCCATGTTTTAAATCTTAGATTTTTCGATTTCTCGGTTTTTTGACTTCTCAGTTCTTCAGTATTTAAATTTTTCAATGAAAAAATTTTGACGTTAAATTTTCAGTTTTCTGATTTCTCAATTAATCTATTTTTGATTTTCCCACTTCTCAAAATTTCGATTTTTCAGTTCTTTAATTCTTGAATTTTTCGACTTCGCTTTATTGGTTTTTCGATTTCTCAATTTTTGGATATTTCTTTCAGTTTTGATATTTTTCAATTTTTCGACTTTTAGATTTTTCGAGTTTTTATTTTTGGGTTTGCAGTTTTTCGTTTTTTATACATTAAATTTTTCAATTTTTCGATTGTTTTATATTTCAATTTCTCAATTTTTCAACTTTTCCATATTTTAATTTTTAAATTTCTAGATTTTTCGGTTTCTGGATTTTTCAGTTCTTCAGTTCTTCAATTTTTCAATTATTCAGGTTTTTGATTTTTCAATTTTTCGATTTTTTAAGTTTGCGATTTTTCGACTCTGCTTTTTTGACTTTTCTGTTTTTCAATTTTTTAATTTCCTAATTTTTGGATATTTCGTTCAATTTTGTGATTTTTCAGTTTTTCGATTTTTTGAGTTTTCAGTTCTTCTATATTTTAATTTTTCAATTTTCGGAATGTTTCAATTTTCTATTGTCCAATTTTTTTTTATTTTTCGATTTTCCAATTGTTCGATATTTCGATTTTTGAATGAACCGATTGTTCAATTTCTCGATTTTTAAATTTTAGATTTTCCAATTTTTATTTTTTTTATTTTTTTATGTTTCGATTTCTCGATTTTACAATTTTCCCATATTTGAATTTTTCAATGTTTTAAATTTTCGATTTCGAGAATTTACTGTGTTACAGTAGTCATCACTCATCAAGAACGATTATTGCTGTGCGTTCAAATGCCTACATACTGATAAGCACGTACATACAAGACGCATTTAAGGCTGTTTTAAGTCTGCTACATTTAATTTTTGCGATTTAAATTTATTTCTTGATGTCTAAATCGTATATATTTAAATGGTGGTAAATATTTTGTGATAAAATGCATTTTAGTTTCAAAGATAATCTGTATTTAGTGATTTGACTACTGTTAATAAAAAAAGGACGTAAGATGTTCATACTGAATTATTACTGCCTAATACGTCCGTTTACTACCTTATCGACATCACGTGCTTACAGACTATTTTTACCTCCTTTCGTAAGGTACCGCCACTTCACAGTGAAGCGAGTGAGATGTAAAATATATGTTCATTCTTTTCTACATAGGAAAGTGATTCTCCGTATAGGTTGTCCAACTATAATATACTTAAACAATGGTAGTACTGATTTTTCAGAACTTACAAAACACGAGAAAACTGTATGCAATAATCGCGATGTAGACGCAACATAGTACGTCGAGCCAGTACCCGAACGCCCTTGATGTTGCTATAAACATATACCAAGCGCTGGAATTATCGTCTTGTAGTTCATCAAACTCCTGAACTAGTAACATTTCTGCCCCATTGGAACGCACTGTGATTAGACCTTGTATGGTGGCGTTAACGTGGCCAAAAATCGGGCTTCTGCCTACAACATAGTCGTACCCGAAGCACTACGCCGGTACTACTTACTGATTCCCTCGAGCCGTTTCAAGGTTCTGCTAGTTTTGATGTAGTACTTCCTCAACAAGTAAAATATAACACATATGATGAGCGTCGGTATGGCTAAGAAATAATTAACGGTGATAACGATAGCCGCAGCTCCTACCAGATTTAACAAAATCTGGGCACAGTCGATCATCGCGTTGGGCAAAAGTTCATCCACTGCCCCTAAATCCTTAGAAAACCTGTTCAAAATCCGTCCAGACGTGTTAGTGTTGAAGAACTGCATTGACGCAGTAATGATGCTTCCGAACATGCGATCGTGCAAACTGAAACACTCGCGTGACAAGAGAAGTACCATCGGGGTACTCACTTCATAGAAGCTCGCATGCAAACGTTGAAGAAGACGAAGGATCGGGTTAAAGCGACCACCATCGTCATAAAAATCAGAGCGGAGTAGACGTCGATGTAAAGATTTTGACTTAAGATTCCGTCATTGATGGTGTCGTTCCCACGGTGTTCCTCCACGTTGATCCTAGAACGGGAGTCAATAAAACGAAAATTGAAGTCGCGGAGAGGTACCATATGGATAGAAAATAGTCACCGCCGCTGGCTAAAGCTTGCGCACCCACGAACAACAGCATCACGGAGAGAATGACGCAGCAGTTCCCCCCAGCTCTAAAGTACTCCATGAACACGCCGCACTCCACAGAGCCTTCAGTTCGCATTTCGGCGACGTGCTGCGGCTTGAACTGAAAAGCGAACTGAGAGATAATGGTACTAGAAAAGTTAAGCAAAAACCCTTTTTCCCTCCTTGTCGATAACGTTCAAGCTCAGGTTACTCTGGATGGTCAGGTCTTTCATAATCGTGTCGACTTTGTTGCCCGGACCGACCATGCTAACGTCGGGAGTGTCGTCAACATCCACGCTCAACTGGTTGCGCAAAAACTCGGCGAAATCCAGCCCGGTACTCTGTAAAAACTGGTACGACCCTATGGCTTCCACTTGCCCGTCGTGCATCAGCACCACTTTGTGGACCTCGCTCAAAAATTGCAACTGATGCGTCACCAAAATGACGATTTTGTCTTGGAGGAACTGCGTAATGCATCTATCGAACAGGTGCTTCCCGACGTTGGTGTCCACGGCAGACAGAGGGTCGTCCAGGAGGTATATATCGGCTTCTTTGTACACAGCCCGTGCTAGGTTGATCCTCGCCCTTTGGCCGCCACTCAGCGAAGTACCCTTTTCACCAACTATGGTCAGGTCACCGTGCGGCAACAAGGCAAAGTCGCGGGCTAACGCACACGCCATCACCACGAAGTAGTACCTGCGCTTGTTGTACTCTCTCCCGAAAAGAATATTCTGGCGAACGGACCCAGCGAACAACCAAGGTTCCTGCGACGCGTAGGAAATGACCCCGGTTACTTCGACGGTACCCAGACACGGATTCAACTCCCCTAGGATTATGTTCAGGAGCGACGACTTCCCGGACCCCACTTGGCCTATCACCGCCACTAATTCTCCCATCTCCAGGTCCAGCGACACGTTCTGCACGCACACTTCGTCGTCGATCTTCGCCGAAACGTTGCTGAGGAGGATCTTCGTGTTTTCGTGTTGGAGTCCAGCCGCGCTTTTTTGAAGCGGTGCTTCGCCCAGAGATTGCGTGCTGACGTTGTGTAGGGGTTCTTCTACGGGCTCCATGGGCCGGCGGTCGCCGACTTTGGATTCCGGCATTATGAGGAAGCTTCGGATGCGTGATATCGCGACGTTGGTTTCGGCGATCTGCGCGATGGCGTAGGGGAAGAAGAGGGTCATGGTTTGGCGGAGGATTTGGTAGAAGGAGGTGACGACGAAGACTTTCTCGGCGGTGATGGAGCGACCTAGCTGGACTACCAGTAGCACGGTGGCGAAGATGGCGAGCCGGGAGGTGAACATGATGAAGGACATTATGGCGCCGCGGATGTACGAAGTGGCTTTTAAGACTTGTATTTCTAGTCTGGAAGTCGAGGGGTTATTGGGGAGTGACAACGTACTACGTGGTACCTGCGCAATTCGTGGATTTGTTTAGCGAAAGCCGACTCCCAGGTGTACATTTTAATCACTTGCATGGCCTGGATGATTTCGTTCATCTGACGGACTCTCTCGTCGGTTCTGAAGGCGGTTTTGAGTCGGAACCTAGAGGTACGATTTCCGAACCACGCTAAATTGAAGGGTTAATGAGTGAAATGTTGGTATGGATGGGTACCTTGGAGGGGAATAATGGCCATTATGGTGGAAATTCCAGCCACGGCGGCCACTCCGACGTGTTGGTACATGAGCAACAAACACAGGAGCATCTGGAGCGGTGCTAACCAAATGTAGTGCAAGAACATCACCGCCAGGTCAAACCGATTAACATCGTTCGACATCAAGTTGACCACATTACCAACCGTAGGACCTGTTAAGGACGCCAGGTCCAAACGAAGCGTCTTCCTGTAGATAAGCGAGCAACAAGCAACTCTGATCTTCATTCCGACGTGCATAATACTCATCATGCACGGATGTATCGTCAGCACGTTCACCAAACTACAAAAAACCACGCCCGATGCAAAAACTAGAGCTTCTTCGAACTGAATCGGACTCTGCTTTTCCCAGAATTGTAACAGGCGCATCAAATACGTGGGTTCCGTCACTCTAACAAGACCGCGTGAGTCCCAGCTACTACCATCGTTAATACTCACGGTTCCAAGTCGTTTTGGTTTTCTGGACTGAAGTACCTGAGGAGCATCCCTAGGAACAAAGGCTGGCACAACCTCACCGGTATCTCCATCAGGAACAAAGTCAACCCTTGAAGCAGTGTCGGCTTTAAGAACATTCTAGTCAAGACTGTTAGCAGTTGGGGCGATTCGTTGTGGTCTTTAGCCCTCAGCACTTCCTGATTCCAGAAGTGCGCAATCGTGTCACCTAAAAACGACGACTTGTGTGCGTCTAGGGGTGTCGTCAAATCTCCCTCATTAAAATCCCGTTTGGCTCCTTGGCGGAATATGGGAATGGTGTACCAGAACATGATACGCGACAGCCAGTTGGCACCCTTTTCTGGGTGTTCTGGCTTCCCCAAATTTTTGTCATCGTCATCAATCATTTCGATTTTGACAAGTAAACGACGTTTCGCAGACAAGGTAGATTCCAAGGTTTAAGGGGACGAGGTATAACATTTTTTTGGTTTATTGTATGAAAAAATGATATTAATATAGATGTGTCATACATCAAACTGCAGCTTTTTTCATATTCTAGGGCGCAGAGACCAGTTCAATCAACTAAAAAAATATGGCTGAGAAATATCGTAAAAAAGCACCATTTTCTGTTTTCTTTTCAAGTTTTTTTAGTCATAACCATCATAAAATCGCTTGAAAATTCGCACATGGATAAAACATCACTTTTTACAGGGCGCAGAATCATTAAATGTTTGTTAGTGGTACAATTTGTTTAAATAATAATGTGTTTATTAAAATCAAAATATACCACAAATTAATGCAAAATACGTCGAATAATTTTAATAGGAATATCAGAGGAAAATTAATGATCTATTGGTTAGCAGAGTTTTTAACCAAAACTAACAGTTATTGAAAAAAATGGGTATCAATTCGACAGAATTTGAGCAGTTAGTTCAGTACTTTGCCGATAGGAGCGCCACTAAAATTTACGGAAGCGACTTTCAGGTAAAACCCTTGTCGCCTGCTTTACCATAAGCTGATTGTTAGAGTTCTCGGCTGATTTTTCTAATTTATGGCAAGGAACTCAGCTTTATAACAAGCCGCCAGGACCGGCCGTAGTAATCTATTGTTAAGAAAATTAACTTTTACGCAATGATGTACTATTATAAAACCGAATTAAAACTGGGGAACTATAATATTTTTACTCCACTCAGGATCCTGAATTCAATACACATGATTACTAAAAATTCATTGTAATATTATTGTTAATATATATTTTGCTTTCTTAATTAATAAAACTAATAAACATATTTATAATAATAATAAAAAATATATAAAATACAGCTTTTGTTTAACACGTATAAGTAGCTAAGTGTATCTACTACTTATCCCAGAAAGGAGGTGTTTTAAAAAAGCCCTACGCCCAGTAACTTCTCCCTTCATTGTTTACTCTAAAAAAGTGCTCGTATATGTTTTCATTTGCTGAGAGATCATTTTCAAAATATATTTATAATAAAAATATGCAACTCTTGGTGATGAAAAATGTACTAATAAATTATTAAAGTACATAAAAAAATAGAAACAAATTTTATTTATTTTAAAAAAATCTCTCGCAAAGGCAGGTTCCTCTTTCTTCTTGAATCAATTATTTCGGGAAATAATGCGCCAAAGCAAAATCTGCCAAGTTTATCTGCCATCTTTTTACATATATTTCTTCGTCTTTATAAATTTTTTCTATATTTATTCCATTGGGTGTCCATACAACAAAATAAACTTGTGAAATACCCGTAACAAGCATTTGTCCCTGGACTTGGAAGTAGTAATCATGATTTTTTTTTTAGTTTCAATTCTCTGTCTGTCAATGTACAAAATTTGATTATTTTTTTTCTAACCGCTTCTTCGGGAGACAAATCTTGCGATTTTGAAGGGCATTTAATTTCGACTAATGCACTCCTATCCTCGAGAACTCTGTCTGGACTAGCAGCCAAGTAAGGAAATTGTTTTGAAATAAACAAGCCACACCGTTCAGTTTTTATATTTTTATTTATTTCAAAACACTTGACAGCTTTTTCCTCACTTTGCTGTCTATAGTATGTATGACTGTTACCTCTAAATGTACTGTACAACAGAGACTCCACAGTTTTAGCTATTGCTGTAGTCGGTCTAAGTTTGTAAATACGTCCAAAATTTGAAGCCGTAACCCTAATTTCTCTTTCTTTTGCCCAAATGTGCCTGTTGCCTAGTGTCTATTTAAATTTGGTCTAAATTCAAAGATAATTTTCTCAAAAAAACCTCTTTGGCTGTCACAAATGTTTCTACATCCATGACAGGATTTTCTAAAAAATATTTAAACTATAATCGCAGTCGGGACCAGCATACGTAAATTTTTTTACGACATATTTTTTACGAATACTTTGTCTAAGACGAGTTTGTTTTATAGACGAACAATATTTTTTTGTTATTAAACCAGGACCGTTTTAATCACAATATATTTACTTATCCCCTCTAAAAAATTGATGACCCCAAAAATTAATGAATGCGTAAATTTATTTTATTGATTTAATCAGGAACTACAGAACCCAATGCTTTGAAATCTTGCAAATGTTTTAAGGTTATAAAGAGCATAATAAATTTTTAGTCCAAATATATTTGCTTATCCCCTCCAAAAAATTGATGACGTCAGCTCAAAAGTTTGCCGTATAATCCTATTTAAAATTTACAAAATATGATGAGTCTCTTCTTGTAATTTATCATTCCATTCATATTTTTTGGATTCGGATATACAGGGTGACTCAAAAAATTTTATGAATGCGCAAATTTATTTTATTGATTTAATCAGGAACTACAAAACCGAATGCTTTGAAATCTAATGTGAAAAAAAAACATAATAGGCATGCAGTCGTCACGTTTCCGATAGCGAGGGAAGTACTGTCTAAACTCTTTAGACTAATATTTTTGATTTTCCCATTTTTCCATTTCTCAATTTTTCAATGTTTCAGTTTGGGATTTTTTCACTGTTTCGATTCTTTAATTTTCCTTCCATTTTTAGGTTTTTCAATATTTCAGCTTTGGAATTTTGCAATATTTCGTTTCTTCAATTTTTCAAATTTTTGATATTGTGTTTTCTCGGTTTTTAAATTTTTCGATATTTTAATTTTTCAGTTTTTAAAGTTTTAGGCTTTTAGATTTCTCACTATCTCGACTTTTCGATTTTTCAGTTCCATGATTTTTCAATTTGTCGAATTTTTAAATTTTAGATTTTTTGTTCTCGATCATTCAATTTTCTGAGTTTTCAGGCTTAGATTTTTTTTGTTGTTCAATTCTTGGATTTTTAAAATTTTTGTTTTTTAAATTTTCCTATTTATCAACTTACTGGGATTTCAATGTTTTGATTTTTTGATTGTTCAATTTCTCGATTTTTTGAATTTTTAGTTTTTGATACAATTTTTTTTTTCAAAAATTTTCAGTTTTTCAATTTATTAACTTCACGATATTTCAGTTTTACGATTTAAAATTTTTTTTTTCAGTTTATAATTTTTGACGTTTCTAAATTTTTCGATTTTTCAATTTTTCGATTAACTGATTTTTTGATTTTCCCATTTCTCTATTTCTTGATTTTTCAATTCTTTCTTCAATTGTGATTTTTCAATTTTACGATTTCTGGATTTTTCAATGTTTCAGTTTTGGATTTTTTCACTTTTCCGATTCTTCAATTTTCCTTCCATTTTTCAGTTTTTCAGTATTTCAGTTCTGAGATTTTGCAATGTTTCGGTTCTTCAATTTTTCCATTTTTTGATGTTTCGATTTCTCGGTTTTTCAATTTTTCGATAGGTAGATGTTCCGTTAATTTTTTGTTTTCCTTGATGTTTCGATTTTTAAATTGTTTAATTTTTAGATTGTTCAATTTCTCGATTTATAAATTTTTCAATTTTTCGGTTTACCGATTTTTTTCATTTAAAATGTTTCAATTTTTCAATTATTAAGTTTTCGATTTTTCAATTTTGGTGTAATTTGAAAACGGTATTAATAATACATTTAGGCGAAGAAACTAATAGACGGGCTTGATAAGCCTTGTTTGCTCTACAGTGTCTAAATTGTGTTTGAATAATATAATAATTATCTCGAATATTAAAATTAATATGTCAAAAGAATACGAGAAATGATTATTCTGTGCTGAAGGTATGTTGTGGACCGCCTGTCATAAATTATCATTATTCTGCATTATCGGCTTACGATACTTTTATGACCCACGTCCGGTAGTCGTCTATCCCAGCGCGTCAGGTAGATTTAAAGAAGAATTGCTGGTTGCGTTTAAGGCAACAAATGGCGCCCAATTCAAACTTGTATCTCGTCTAGCGTTCCCCCTTAACCGTAAAAAATCAAATACAATTAACGAAAGTTTTATTGTCAACGAAGAAAAATACAACTAACACTTTTTCTTATCCTCTTTTTTACTACCTTTGGAAGACGCACCCACTGCCTTCATCAGGAGATCAGTGCTTAGAGATTTGGGTCGCTCGATGGGAAGACCCAAAGCCCGGGCCCAAATCAACGAAGCCATGACGCCCAAACACCGAGAAACCGCAAACAACACAGTGTAGTAGCTCATCTCCGTGAGCCCGTAGTACTGCAAAAGTACCCCCGAATGGGCATCCACGTTGGGCCAAGGGTTCTGCACCTTCCCCAAGCCTTGCAAAAGAGGAGGAACCACCTTGAACACCTGCGTGACTATCTTGAAGAGAGGGTCATCAGGGAAATGCTTGCGAGCGAACTCCTGCTGACACATAAACCTCGGGTCTGTTTTTCTCAGAACGGCGTGTCCATAACCCGGGATGACTTGCCCACTCTTCAAGGTATTTTCAGCGAAAGTTTTGACTTGCTCGTCCGACGGGTCATCCCCTAGTTCTTTATGCAGCTTCATAATCCAGACTAGTACCTCCTGGTTGGCCAAACCGTGCAAAGGACCCGCGAGTCCGTTCATCCCAGCCGCGTACGAAAGGTAGGCGTCGCTCAGCGCCGACCCCACCAGATGGGTAGTATGGGCGGACACGTTCCCACCTTCATGGTCGCTAAAGCATCTCTAAATTGTGCCTTCTTTTCAACAACCCACCTACCTGTGAATCGTGAGGTACAACCTCATGAGTTCCGCAAAAGTCGGGTCGTCGTAACACAACAAATTGCAAAAGTTCAAGCTCCAGTCGTGGCTGGCATCGATGGGACGCAGGTCCGTAGTACCCTTGAAGGTATTCTGGTAAATGAGGGCCGCGATCCCGATCACTTTCCCGATGAGATTCATAGCGTCTTCGTAGGTGGACTCCCAGTACTGGGTTTTCTTCACCCCCTTGTTGTACGCCTTGACGAACTCGCTTTCGGTGTTGAGGACAGTGCAAGCGGCACTGAGTTGACTCATGGGGTGGACGTGCTTGGGGCACTGTTTCAAGAGGTTGCACACGTGCGGGGGTAATTGACCACGACGAGCCCAGTCTTGGGATAGACCCTTCACCTGGTCCTGCGTGGGGATGTCTCCGGTGACGAGCAGCCAGAAGAGCCCTTCAGGGAGCGGCTCGCCGCCGCCGCTAGCCTTCGGGAGCTTCTCCTGGCACTCGGGAATGGTGTAGCCGCGGAATCTGATGCCTTCGTTAGGGTCTAGGTGCGAGGTTTCGCACAGCATGCCCTTGATTCCTCGCATTCCGCCATAAACCTTGTGACAATTAAGTGAAAACAAAGTGGCCACAGATGCGACTTACCATGTTGACTGTGACTTCGCCGACTGAGGATTTGCCGTGGCTTTTCCGGAAAGCTTTGATTTTTTCTTGTTCTTTGGGGATTTTGGCGGCGAGGACGGCTTTAAGGTCGCTTTTTGAGGAGCTGAGTCTTTTTATTATCGTGGTTGAGGCTGATAAGCAGCCTGAAAGCAGTGTCGTTTTAGACATTTTCAGTTTACGGACTGACAGGCACCTACTTGATTTTTTCAAATTAAAGTAAAAAATTACGCGCCAAAATTTGAATTTTACAACTTTCAAAAACGTTAGCCCGAGGTTAAGTGGGATTTATAAACTTGGTGTTGACAATGAAGTTCCCGTTGCAGTTGCTGAAAATTGTCATCTATAAACTCCGTTGCCAAGTTGCCGTTGATAGTAACTTTGATGTTCAACTTTTGCGGTATTTAAAGGGGTTGTAGAAGAAAAGTGGAGGATTTAAGTTGATTACTAGAAAAATTTTCCATATTAAGAAAAAAGAGGCAAAATGTAGCCCCGCCCACCCACCCTGTCTCAATTGTAATGATTTTTTTTATTCGTCGTGAGCCAAGAGGGCGGAGTTTAACTGCAAAATCCTTATATCTCTACGAGAAATTAAAAATATGTTTTTGAGTATTGTATTGTTCAAAGATTACAATGTACATTAAGAAAAAAATAAAGGCAAGGATTAGGCCACACCCATACTCGCCCCAATCTCAATTCTCAATTGTGGTGAATTTTTCATTCGTTGTCAGATCGAGGGGTGGGGCTTAACTGCTAGAACGATATTTCTCTACAAGAATTTACCATTTTAAACATGTTTTAAGTTTCTTGGTCTGAAAAGACGACTACGTATATTAAGGCAAAAGGCAAAATATAAGCCCCACCCACCCGCTCTATCTCAGTTGTGATAATTTTTTTTTTAATCGTTGAAAGCCAACGGAGCGGGATTTAATTGCAAAATCGTTATCATTTCTCTACAAGAAATTACCATGTAAGACAGTTATATTAAGGAAAAATTAAAGCCAAACATTAAGCCCCACCCATACCTGCCCTGATCTAAATAGAAATGAAGTTTTCATTCGTTGGCAAACCTAGGGGCGGAGCCTAATTGCAAAATCTACATTTCCTTACAAAAAATTACCATTTTAAACATGTTTTAGGTTTCTAAGAAGAAAAAAATCATCACAATGGGGAAGGGGTGGGTGGGTGGGGTTTATATTTTGCCTTTTTTTCTTAATGTACAGAGGATTCTTTGAACACAATACTCAAAAACATCTTTTTAATTTCTTGTAAAGAAATAAGTATTTTGCAGTTAAGCTCCGCCCCCTTGGTGCACGTCGAATAAAAAAATCATTACAATTGAGACAGGGCGGGTGGGCGGGCTTACATTTTGCCCTTTTTGTTTTAATGTGTAGACTTCTTTTCGCACATAAAACTTAAAACATCTTTAAAATGGAAAATTTGTATATGGAAATATCGATTTTGCAGTTAGACTCCTCCCTATAATTGCAAAATCCATAAGTCCTTGCAAAAATGTACCATTTTAACCATGTTCTAAATTTCTTGTTGTGAAAAGATGGCTGTGTATATTAAGAAAAAAAAAGGCAAAATATAAGCCCCGCCCACCCGCCCTATCTCAATTCTGATGATTTTTTTTATTCGTCGTAAGCCGAGGGGCGGAGCTTAATTGTAAAATACTTATTTTTTTACGAGAAATTACCATGTGAAATATGTTCTTAAGTAGTCGTGTTATACAAAAAAAAAACTAAATGTATTAATTAAAAAAGAAAACTAAAAGAGAAGCCCCACCCATTTTTCATTCATTGTCAGACCGAGGGGAGGAGCGTAATTGAAAATCGATATTTCCCGATACAAATTTACCATTTTAAACATGTTTTAATTTTCTTGTTGTCGAAATAAGTCTACACATGTTAAGAAAAAAAAGGCAAAATGTAGCCCCGCCCACCCGCCCTGTCTCAATTGTAATTATTTTTTTTATTCGTCGTGAGCCAACTGCAAAATCCTTATTTCCTTAGGAGAAATTAAAAACATCTTTTTGAGTATCGTGTTATTCCAAGAATACTATGTACCTATATTAAGAAAAAATTAAAGCCGAAGATTAAGCCCCACCCATACCTGCCCTGATCAAAATACTGATGAAGTTTTCATTCGTTGATTTTATCATTTTAAACATGTTTCAAGTTTCTAACAATAAAAAAAATCATCACAATTGAGATGGGGTGGGTGGGCGGGGTTTATCTTTTGCCTTTTTGTCTTAATGTACATAGTATTCTTTGCACAACACGATACTCAAAAACATGTTTTAAATTTCTTGTAAAGAAATAAGTAGTTTGCAGTTAAGCTCCGCCCCCTTGATTCACGGCGAATAAAAAAATGATCACAATTGAGATCGGGCGGGTGGGCGGGCTTTCATTTTGCCTTTTTGTTTTAATATTTGTAGACGTCTTTTCACAACATGAAACTTAAAACATATTTAAAATGGAAAATTTGTATAAATATGGATTTTGCAATTAGGTTCCGCCTCATAATTGCAAAATCCATATTTCGTTGCAAAAGTGTACCATTTTAACCATGTTTTCAGTTTCTTTTTGTGAAAAGATGGCTATGTCTATTAAGAAAAAAAACGCAAAATATAAGCCCCACCCACCCGCCCTATCTCAATTCTGATGATTTTTTGTATGCGTCGTAAGCCCCGAGGCGCAGTTTAATTGTAAAATCCATATTTATACAAATTTTCCATTTTAAATATGTTTTAAGTTTCATGTTCTGAAAAGACGTCTACAAATATTAAAACGAAAAATCAAAATGTAAGCCCGCCCACCCGCCCTGTCTCAATTGTAATGATTTTTTTTATTCGTCGTGAGCCAAGAGGGCGGAGCTTAACTACAAAATCCTTATTTCCTTAGGAGAAATTAAAAACATCTTTTTGAGTATCGTGTTATTCCAAGAATACTATGTGCGCCTATATTAAGAAAAAATTAAAGACAAAGATTAAGCCCCACTCATACCTGCCCTGATCAAAATACTAATGAAGTTTTCATTCGTTGATTTTATCATTTTAAACATGTTTCAAGTTTCTAAGAATAAAAAAAATCATCACAATTGAGATGGGGTGGGTGGGCGGGGTTTATATTTTGCCTTTTTGTCTTAATGTACATAGTATTCTTTGAACAACACGAAACTCAAAAACATGTTTTTAATTTCTTGTAAAGAAATAAGTAGTTTGCAGTTAAGCTCCGCCCTCTTGGTTAACGGCGAATAAAAAAAAATCATCACAACTGAGACAGGGCGGGTGGGCGGGCTTAGATTTTGCCTTTTTGTTTTAATATGTGTAGACTTCTTTTCACACATGAAACTTAAAACATAAAATTTTTGTAAGGAAATATCGATTTTGCAATCAGGGTCCGCCCCATCATTGCAAAATCCATATTTCCTTGCAAAAATGTACCATTTTAACCATGTTCTAAATTTCTTGTTGTGAAAAGATGGCTGTGTTTATCAAGAAAAAAAAAGGCAACATATAAGCCCCGCCCATCCGCCCTATCTCAATTGTGATGATTTTTTTATTCGTCGTGAACCAAGCTTAATTGTAAAATACTTATTTTTTTACGAGAAATTACCATGTGAAATATGTCAAGTAATCGTGTTATACAGAAAAAACTAAATGCATTAATTAAAAAAGAAAACCAAAAGAGAAGCCCCACCCATTTTTCATTCATTGTCAGACCGAGGGGAGGAGCGTAATTGAAAAATCGATATTTCCCTATACAAATTTACCATTTTAAACATGTTGTAAGTCTCTTGTGGTCGAAATACGTCTACACATGTTAACAAAAAAAATCAAAGTGTAGGCCCGCCCACCCGCCCTATCCCCATTGTGATGATTTTTTTTATTCGTCATGAGCCAAGGGGACGGAGCTTAACTGCAAAATCCTTATTTCTCTAGAAGAAATTAAAAACATCTTTTTGAGTATCGTGTTCAAAGAATACTATGTATATTAAGAAAAAAACAAAGCCAAAGATTAGGTCCCACCCATACCCATCCCGATCTCAATTCTCAAGTGTGATGAATTTTTCATTGGTTGTCAAATCGAGGGGCGGGGCTTAATTCCAAGATCCATATTTGTATACAAGAATTTATCATTTTAAACATGTTTTAAGTTTCTAAGAATAAAAAAAATCATCACAATTGAGATGGGGTGGGTGGGCGGGGTTTATATTTTGCCTTTTTGTCTTAATGTACATAGTATTCTTTGAACAACACGATACTCAAAAACATGTTTTTAATTTCTTGTAAAGAAATAAGTAGTTTGCAGTTAAGCTCCTTGGTTAACGGCGAATAAAAAAAATCATCACAATTGAGATCGGGCCGGTGGGCGGGCTTTCATTTTGCCCTTTGTTTTAATATTTGCAATTAGGTTTCGCCCCATAATTGCATGTTTTCAGTTACTTATTGTGAAAAAATGGCTAAGTATATTAAAAAAAAAGGCAAAATATAAGCCTCGCCCACCCGCCCTGTCTCAGTTCTGATGATTTTTTTTATTCGTCGTAAGCCGAGAGGCGGAGCTTAATTGTGAAATCCATATTTATACAAATTTTCCATTTTAAATATATTTTAAGTTTCATGTTCTGAAAAGACGTCTACAAGTATTAAAACGAAAAGCCAAAATGTAAGCCCGCCCACCCGCCCTGTCTCAATTGTGATGATTTTTTTTATTCGCCGTGAACCAAGGAGGCGGAGCTTAACTGCAAACTACTTATTTCTTTACAAAAAACATGTTTTTGAGCATTAAGAAAAAAGGGCAAAATGTAAGCCTTTGTAGTTATAATACCTAACCTGTTTTTGAGATCAAGTTGGTAGCACTGGACACTACCGCAATTTGATTGGTTGAAAACCCAACGTCAACGGCAACGTAATGGCGAAAGTTAAAAGAACATTAACACACCTTCGTTGCGTATTTATCTTACCTTACCTTACGTCAACGGACACCAGTAACGTCAGCGACGAGTTCATAAATCGACCTTTAAAGGGACTCGCTAAGGAAGTATAACACTTTTTCTTGATCTTGCTCACTTTATTATCCATTATGGAATGTGCAAACAATATGCGTCAAATACTTGTAATAGTACAGTATATAACAAATGTATTGATTAAGATACTCGTGTATAAATATGAAATATAATAAAAAAATAAACTAAAAATCAACCAAAAAATATTAACATTAAATCCACGTAACTGTAAACGTTTCCTTAATCATATCACAAAAATAAATCTCGATGAAGCATGCAAACAGACCACAACCTCTGAAATTGCCACATCTAAGCACATCACAATAAGTATTTGGCTACAAAATGAGCCCAGGAATGGCCCACCGTCAGGCTTAGGCTCTTAGTAATCACGTGGTACATTCCTGTCGGCGCATCATCAAGCGACTATATCAAAGCTACTTCGATAAATACTTTCATGTGCATAAAATTCATAAAAAATCCCTAATTTAACGGTAGAATTTCACTTCGGTTTCCACGCAATCTTTGAGCAACTCGTCGAACTCGGACAGGTCCTCGCCGACGTTGACCAGGACCGCATCCAGCTCCTTCACGCAGTCCGCCTCCATGGTGCGCAGCAGGCTCTGAACGTCGCCCCCCTTTTTCACCGCCTCCGAGTGCAGCGAGTAGAGGGTGTGCGGGGCGGTCTTGTCGCTGTCGGGGCATTTGGTGTGGTTCGAGATGACGGCGTTGGGGGAGAAGATGAAGGGTTTGTACACGGAGACCGAGGGGTCGGGGGTGGCGGTGAACCAGTGCACGCTGGGGCGGCTGGAGCTCAGCGTGGACACCTACAACCGGACCGGTACTATACTAGGCCAAATCGACTTTTATCAATAAGGTTAACTTTCACGCGTTATTGCCTAAGAAACACGACTTAAGGCATCTGGTTTTTCAAGGTTTATTTCTTGTCTTGTTTTTTTTTTAAGAACGTGTAATATATTTTTTGTATTTGTGTAGTTTACCTGACTGCCCTGAGTGGGGAAAGGAGCGTCACATCTTCTACAAATCTCGGAATGCTTATCTCGTAAAATAGTGAACATATCCGTCTCCCTAAAATTATTAGAGCTTGAGTGCTTAGCGAGCAACTTCTCCCCGGCTAGATATCTCTTATCGCCGGGTTTTTTCTCGCCGCTGAAAGCTTCGCAAAAATTAAATTCCCCCTGAAATCAAAGTATCGTTTGTTCATAAAGTACAACTGTAATTTGGTCAGTGTTACCTCCCCGTCCCATAGGCCTTTTGATTTGGCGTAGTCTTCCAGGCCGTCCGATTTTCTATCTATTTTAGTGGTAATCGTCAACACGTTGGATATATTTCTATATCCACCTTGAATAATGAAATAGATGAAAAAGTTTGACAATGAAAGGGGGTCTTACTGGTGACTTGAACCGCAGCCCAATGTTTCCCTGATGTTTCCAAAACCCAAGCAGTAGTAGGATCAGCTATTAGAAATGAATTGTGATAGGACAAGTTAGGGTCAATATGGGAACAAGGGCCCCCTTGACCGTATTTTTCTAGGAGTTGTGTGATGATTTCGAGGGCGTGTGTTGCGGTAGAGCCTCTTTCTAAACCTAGCCTACAATAAAAGTTTAAGTGAAAGTTGAAAAATATTTTTTAAATAAGCATGGCTAGAATTGTGCCGCCTCGTCCAAATAGTGATTAGTCAAATTACAAACACGTCGATCTTATTGATTTTTTTACTCGATAAAATTTTGAAATGACGTCAACGGAATTTTTGAGGACATGAACAGAAAAAATTTGCGTTTTACCACTACGTAGAGTATAATGTTGTATAATAAATATTTTATTTTGATACCATGAGATTGTTAAATGTTTTTTATTTTGTAGAAATTTTTAAGTCCATAAATGCAACATAAAAACGCGACCAAAGTTGCTTAAAAAAAAATGATTAAAAAACCCGACAAAAAAAAGCGCGAAAATAAAGCGACTAAGAAAAAGACGACAGAAAAAATGTGATGAAAAAAGTGAAAATAAAGACGAAGTTTAAAAAAGGGGAAAAAGGCAAGAAAAAACGACCAAGAAAAAGACGAAAAAATAATTTATTATTAATAAATATTTGTGAAAATGTGTTGTGTTAGTACTGTGAACACAAACGAAAGTGGATATTTTTCCAAAAAGGACCGAAAACGGGGAAGTACGACTTCAGTTTTAATTTATCAAGTTCCATGGTTCGTTTACTCGACAATGTTTAAGTTTTGGAAAAAATTTCGAAACGGTTGAAGTAGAAAACCGTTTTACTAAAAACACGATGGTATTAAAAACAAAGCAATTTATTTGAATATAGTTAAGTTAATCCTGAAAATTTCTTAATTTCGCGGCCAAAATATGAAAAATAATTTTTGCAATCTCCTCGTGACGTGCTATGACGTCATTGTCACGTGAGCTACCTGTCCAAAGGTCACGTTTTTCGGTCCTTTGTGTTCAGTTTTAATTTCTGTTCGATGGTCGCGTCCTTTTGGCGTAAAAGTAGAGCAATTTCGCGAATTTCTAATTTATTATTAACAAATATTAGGGAAAATGTGTTGTGTTATTGCTGTGAACACGAAAGAAAATGGATATTTTTCCGAAAAGGACCGAAAACAGGGTAACTTCAGTTTTAATTTATCAGGTTCCGTGATTCGTTTACTCGAGAAAGTTTAAATTTTGGGGAAATTTTCAAAACGATTGAAGTTGGTCGATCAAAGCTATAAATTTTCACGATATAATTAAATTATATTTAAACATAATTAATATTATTTATAATGTTTAAATACGATAAGTATTAATATATGATAATTACATCGAACACAGTTTTCTTAAAAACACGAAGTTACTAAAAACAAAGCAATTTGTTTAAATATTATTAAATTAACCCCGAAAATGTGCAATTTCCCGGCTAAAATATGAAAAATAATTTTTGCGATCTCATCGTGACGTACGAGGACGTCACTGTCACGTGCGCTATCTGTGCAAATGCTGCAAAATGTTGTTTTATAAAATGCAACAAAATTAAGGAATTATAAAAAACGGACAAAAAATTGACCACGAAAAAAACTTCGCTAGGCGCCTTTTATATAATTAATACTTTGTTATTATTTTTATTATTTCTAATTGTACAGGTTCTTACCGTAAATAAATCCTATCATATCATATGTCACAAAAGGAACAAAAAATGTGACCAAAAAAGGTAAAAAGAAAAACGACAAAAACTCAGCAAAAGAAAGGCGCTTAAAAAACGACAAAAAAAGGGTAAGAAAAGCAGGAAAATGTCAAATTTTTCAAATTATTGCTTCGATTTGCAATTTTTCGAGTTTTAAGGTCCAAATTTTTCATTTTTCAATTTTCCAACTTTTGAATTTTTCAATTTGCGTTCAATTATTGGACCTAGCAATTTTTAATTTGAGTACCTTCAGTTTTTATTTTTCAGTTTTTCGATTTGCAATTTTTCATTTTGGCTCCTTATTTTATTTATTTTTACGATTTTTCGATGTTGGGTATTTATAACTTTTGGTTGTTTCAATTTTTTCGATGTTTGTTTTTTTTTTTTTTAATTTACGATATGCATCTCTTCGGGTTTTCATTAATTTTTTTTCAACGTGAAATTTTACGTTTTTTCAATTGTCAATTTTATATTTTTCTTTTCATCATTTTTCAATTTTGACTTGTAGTTTGTCTGGTTTTTCAAGTATATAATAATTACTATAATTTTTCAAATTTTCAATTTTACGATTTTAGAATTTTTTCATTTTTCAATTATTGGTTCCCAAAGCTTATTTGGTTTTCCAATTTTTCAATTTTTAATTTTTCGCTTTTAAAGTTTTAGATTTTCCAATTTTCCGGTCCGTTTTTTCTTCTAAATAAAAATAAAAAAATCGGGAAAGTCAAAAATAGAAAGGAAAAACTTTGAAAAATTGATTGATAAAAGGGACGAAAAGTACGAAAGGGCGAAGAGGATGAAAAGGACGAAAAGGACAACAAAGAACGAAAAAGGACGAAAAGGCCGATAAAGGACGAAAATGACGATAAAGGAGGAAAAGGACGAAAAAGGACGAAAAGGGACGGATAAGGACGAAAAGGGACGGATAAGGACGAAAAAGGACGGATAAGGACCAAAAAGGACGGATAAGGACGAAAAGGGACGGATAAGGACGAAAAAGGACGGATAAGGACGAAAAAGGACGGATAAGGACGAAGAAGGACGGAGAAGGACGGATAAGGACGAAGAAGGGCGGATAAGGACGGATAAGGACGAAGGACGGATAAGGACGAAGGACGGATAAGGACGACAAAGGACGAAAAGGACGACAAAGGACGAAAAAAGACGAAGAAGGACGAAAAAGACGAAGAAGGACGAAAAAGACGAACAGGACGACAAAGGACGAAAAAAGACGAAGAAGGACGAAAAAGACGATTAAGGGAAAAAAATTAAGGAAACGAAAAAACAAAAAATTGTGATTTAAATATAAAAAATGAAAATTAGATAAACTCGCTGTCATAAACTACATGTGTAAGACTATGTTATTTGATACAATTTGAAACCCAATTACTATGTACAATTTTGACATGACGTCAGTTTCGAAGATTACGTGTCTAATAAAAATGGATACAGACATCAGACAGACAGACAGACAGACAGACAGACAGACAGACAGACAGACAGACAGACAGACAGACAGACAGACAGACAGACAGACGGACGGAAACGGGAGACGACTTTTTCGTACTGTGAGGGTCATGAAACGTCGAGAAAAGATAAAAGTGGTCATTCGTCCGATGGACCCGATTACTATACTTTGTTAGCTTACGCCCGGCAAGTAAAAAGGGAGCAAAAATGCAAAATGGGACAAAAAAGCGCAAAAAAGGCGACAGTAAAAACGATAAAATAGACGACAAACAAAAGGAGAAATAAATAAAGGAATTAAAAAACTGACAAAGTCTGGATCATACAAAAAGGGTCACAAAAACAAAACAAAAAAAAAACGGAAAATGTGACAAAAAAAGCGAATTAAAAAACGACAAAAAAACAGCAAGAAAAAGCGAAGAAATAGTTTAAAAAAAAAGAGAAAAAAAAATGCGAAAAAAAAGCGACCAAGAAAACGACGACAAAAGCAGCAACAAAAAAAAACGGAGACAAAAAAGAGCCAGAAGAAAGGTGACAAAAAAGACGACAAAAATGATGACCAAAAAAGGTGTCAAAAAATACGGCAAAAAAATCACAAAAAAAAGGGACGAAAAAAGGTGTAACAAAAAGGAACAAAAAAGGCGACAATAATAACAACAAATTAGACGACAAAAAAAAGAGAACCAAAAAATCGCCATAAAAAAAGTCACAAAAAATGCGCCAAAATAAAGGGACTAAAAATAGACAAAAAGGGACCAGGAAAAATCTCCAAAAAAAGTCAGAAAAGCGACAAAAAATGCGGAAGAATGTGACGAAAAAAAGCGAAAAGAAATATGAAGTCAAAAAAAGAGAAAAAACGGCAAGGAAAAACGACCAAGAAATAGCAACAAAAAAAGATCGCAAAAAATACGACAAAGAGACGAACTAAAAAAGGGCTAAAAGTGGTCGAAATAAATGTGACAAAAAAAGATTACAACAAAAAAACGTCAGAAAAAAGATAAAAACGGCGAGAAAAAAGGGGACCAAGAAAAGAGGAACCCAAAAAGGGGCCAGAAAAATGTAACAAAAACAAGGGGACAAAAAAGACAAAAAGATCGACATTAGAGGGGAGTCAAAAAAGACAAAAAGAGACAAAAAATCGCCAAAAAAAGACACGTCAGAAAAACGGAAAATGTAACCAAAACAAAAAGCGTCAAAAAGGGCAACAAGAAAAGGCGACCAAAAAAAAGATTTAAAAAAATGAAAAACTCAAAAAAAGCAAGAAAAAGACGACAAAATGCAAAAAAACGGCAATAAAACGAAGCGAAAAAAGGATTAAAAGAAATTTTACAAAAAACACCTCAGAAAAGCGACAAAAAAGGCGAAAAATACGCAAAAAAAGGCAAGAAAAACGACCAAGAATGAAAAAATTTCCATTAAAAAAAAACGAGAAAAAAGGTAGCAAAAATACAACAAAAAATTAAATGGAGCGAAAAAAAGGAATAGCAGAAATCTGACAACAAAGACGTCAGAAAAGCGACAAAAAAAAAACGGAAAAATGTGATTCAAATTTCATGTCGAAAATTGCGACTAAAAAAATTGAGTAAAAAAAAAAGGCGCCAAAAAGGGTCAAAAGATATTTAATAAAAAAGACTACAAAATAACGGCAAAAACACAGCAGAAAAACAAAAAAAAAGAGTCCAAGAAGGTTTTACAAAAGGAGATAAAAAAATCGATAAAAAAGCAACGAAATTTGTTAAAAAGCATAAAAAATGCAAGAAAAAAAGCAACCAAGGAATAGATGACAAAAACAAACGCAAAAAAGCAATAAGAAAAGGCGACGAAAGTTTAAAAAAACACAACAAATATTTAAAAAAATGCAAGAAAAAAGTTGCCATGAAAAAGGCGACAAAAACAAAGACAAAAAATGCGGAAAAACCGACAAAAAAAATGGAACAAAAAAAACAAAAATTTTG